TAACTAGGGGGATGCAGGTTCAAATCTTGCCGTAGAGCACATACCTTTCTTTAATAAGATTTCTTGAATATTGGACAGTAGACAAAAACAAAAATACTGTTTAATAAATAAACAGACCATCTATTCAAATATGAGTATCCATTAAAATAACGTCAGTTCACCTATAGGAAATAATCCCTATTGCCATCACAATTACATTCCCACATGCATAGCTTATTAAAACAGGCCCAAAATTTATTTTCTATCTAATAACAGACAATATTACAAACATGCCTAAAAGCCGGAAGTGAGTTTCCCAAGTGATGAGTGCAAGAAAGGAAACATAGAACTTACAGTTACATCTAGCCATTTCAACTGTAAAATGACGAGACTTTGCTGCCAATCTAGTAATGCACTTAAATTCGTAAAGCCTACATATCACAGAGGAAAGTTATATCAGTTGAAAAGTGAATTTGAGATGCTAGGTCAGAACCAATAACATTGCAGTCTTCTTTGGATTTTAGAATCTCTAAATACACAGCAGAAGCACCAGACCAGATATAAAAGCAATATTCAATGAATGGTAGACTTGTAAATGTGTAAAACAGATTCTGGTGAGAAAAATTGTCTAGTACGATACAGTGAACTAACTTTCGTAGCAGCAGTCCTTGCAGTTGATACAATGTATTCTTTCTATATAATGCCGGCAAAAAAACGTGAGCCAGAGAAGGTGCAATGAGCAATGATGTATCTACAATTGGACATTAGCTGGCTGACTATAAATCAATGTGACAATTTTTTTTTTTTTAACATCTCATGACACCCGTTGGAGTTGATGGCAGTGCCTCAAAGAGTTGCAGTACACACTTTACCAATCTCTGGTTAAATTTAATATTCCTTTTCAAATGTTCATGTAAAACTCATTTCCGCAAGGTTTGTAAATGACATATTACAAGTGAATGATTGCAAAAGCAGTAAAGTTTGAACACATTTCTAAGATTAAACATTACACATTGAGTAGTTCTGGAAACTTTTGCATCAATCTAGTACCAAAAATATTGATATGATTAGGATAACACATCAACTACAAAGGAAAAAAAAAATTCCAATTTACTCAGGGGGAATAACTCTTGTACAATAATTTTATGCAGCTTTTCCTTGTCTCAGTGTTGCTTACAATCCATTCTAAAGATCAAGTGGAGTGATTTCATCACCAACAGGAATCTCCTCAGAAAAAGCCAATGACCCAAATATCAAGGCTACTTTGGTGAAGGTCCAGCTACTCTGGCAGGCAATATTTTCAGAATGGCAGATCATCACCTGCTAAAATTGATACTCTATGGTGAGTTGTAATATGGTGAACACATTAAGTGATTTGAGGAAACATTATAAGGACACCCTAAAGAAAGCTCTCACTGAGTAATATCAGCTTCCACTTCTGGACCATAGAAGCCACTTACTGCTAAGATTAGCACATCACCATCCACCAGATTGTAAGTAATTTTGAAACAAACTACTGCCAGCCTGGAAGGAAAGAAAATTAAACAAAACAAAACAGCACCTAAGCAGAGCACGCTACAGGGAAATAATTCCCTGCAACCACTGAAGAGAGATTTTCCTTGTCTCCCCACCTGACAATGTCTGTTGGGTTTTGGTATGTGCTTGAATTCTGTTCTTCTGTTTCATAAGTAAACCTCCTCTCAGGGTAAACAGAATTAAATAAGGAAGAGAAAAATCCCTTGAGATTTTAGATCTTTTAAGCATTAATTTCGATAGAATCCATATGGCCAAATGATTAGAGTGCTAGCGTTTTTGAATCTCAACAGGGAAGATTAGCAAAGAAGCTAACAATTACAGAACATGACACTGTTTAGGAAGTGTCTGAAAACCATATCACAGGTTGACATAATCATCGTGAGTGAAGTCGGGTTGACAAAACTGTTTGGAAGTTGTCGATGGGGGTGCTAATTAACAGATCTTCAGCCTTGGTTGACAACCATTCTAGAAGGACAACTCAATTCAAAACTGGTTAGTGTACCAATGGGTAGACAGAATTGCTTCAGCCTTGGTTGTCAGTCTATTGAGAAACGGTGACTCAATAAAAAAAAAAAAAAAAAACCACCACCCATCCCTCTGCAACTTGTTTGGAAGCTACTGATGGTTGTGTTAATGGACAAATAGGAGCACTTCAGCTTTGGTTAGCAACCAGTCTAGAAGGACAAAACTGGTTGGTTGGCAATTTATCTAGAGTTGGTGACTATATATATATATATAAAAAAAAAACAAAAAAAAAACCTTTCTCAGAAGCCTGGGTAACTTGTGGGGACATGACAATCCATAAAAGCACTGAGTGAAATTTTTAAGTCTCAGGAGTACACAATCTTCTGTAACTGGAGATAGCATTTTTTCTCTGCTATAAGAAAGTGGTTAGTAAACTAGTCCTGTGTACACATACCAGTGGCGATTCTGGAGGTCGGGCTTGCCGGGCTCAGACTGAGTGAGTCAACATCCAAGTATATCTATTTGAAAGCAACAAAAATCTTTTATAGTGTGTCATTTTCATTTTTAACTTCAGTTTGATCCCAAATTGTTTTAACTTCATGCCTCAAAATATTGACTGAAATACATTTTGTTGATATGTTCATAATAATGAAGAAAGAAAGAAAAAAACAAAAAAAACAAAAGAAATAAAGAAGAAGAATGAAATAAAATTAACATAGTTAGTCAGGCTGCATGGCCCTATTGAAGCTGGAAGTATACTTAATAGGGAATGTATTTCTTGATTTAATTTTATAAATAATCTTTTAAAAGTCACTAATGCCTTGTAAGTCCTGTTTTTCAAAGAACACATTTTTATTTCAACTTATTGTTTTCAAATGTCTGTTTTAAATAATTTATTCTGTACAGTATAAGGTTTTTTAGCAGAATGCATCTTTTGAGAAAGGGAAAATTAAATTTGGCAAAAATCAAAGAAAGTGGCAGACTTAACTTGTTAACTGGAGGATTGGGGCAAGGAGTGTGACTGGGGTAGTATGGAGGAAATATGATATCAGTCAACTATTCTTATCTCTATCATCAGTGACTTGATAACCAGACTATGAAACAATAAAAAAATGAAAATGGGGTAAGAAACAGACAAACATATCAAAGACTGTCCTCATTTTTTCTTACAAGTTTGGAATTTTCTTTTTTTAAAATAACTGTTTATTTTTATAGAATTATTACAATTAATATTAACATACCAAAATGTGATTTTTTTAATTTCATGTAGAGATTTTTAAAATTTCTATATCTTAGATTAATGGAATCATTTTAGCATCGAAAATATTTTGTTAAATATTTTGATGAGCCCAAAAAACATTGATGACCTAGAGTCACCACTGACATATATTACTGCTTATCCAAATTGTGGTCACTGCCCACTTTTGGTTGTGTACTATGTTTAGTAAATACTGATTTGAAAGTATTTAATAATAAAAATAAATTTTGAATTAATGATGCGGTTTACAAAAATAATCAAAAGAATTTAGTTTGGAATTACTTTTAATCTAATAAAATAAGTAAAACAGAGATCACATTTGAAATCCCAAGAAAAAAATATACTCTTTTGTATTCAGTGATTTGTATAAAATGTCAAGAGAATTGGAATCATTCAGTTTTCTGTTGAGAATTTGGTCGTCTTTTCTGCTAAATAATTCCTGGTTCAACAATGAGGGGGTATTTAACAACAGATGGCCTTTTGCATTTTTCTGGAAAAAAAAAAAAAAAAAAAGAAGAAAAAAGGTTATTGGTTTATCACCATCAGCAGCAGAAATTCACTACCCACGTAATTCTTTATGCAGCAACAGCCTAAAAAATATGTAAACACTACTACTAAGCATAGAAATCCTAATTTTCCATCATTTTATAAGTTTATTGCTCATTATGGGATGAAGTGAGATGGCATATGAGAGATAAAAAAAAGCAAATAGGAATAAAAAGAAAGAAAGAAAAAAAAAAAGAGACAGGAAGAAAGAAAGAAAGAAAAAAAAGACAGGAAGAAAGAAAGAAAAAAAAAAAAGACAGGAAGAAAGGAAGAAAAAAAAAAAAAAAGAGAAAGAAAAAAAAAAAAAAAAAAAGACAGGAAGAAAGAAAAAAAAAAAAAAAAAACAGGAAGAAAGAAAGAAAAAAAAAAAAAAGGAGACAGGAAGAAAAAAAAAAAAAAAAAAAGAAGACAGGAAGAAAGAAAGAAAAAAAAAAAGACAGGAAGAAAGAAAGAAAAAAAAAAAAGAGACAGGAAAAAAGAAAGAAAAAAAAAAAGACAGGAAAAAAGAAAGAAAAAAAAAAAGACAGGAAGAAAGAAAGAAAAAAGAAAGAGACAGGAAGAAAGAAAAAGAGAAACAAAAAAAAAAAGCCAATAAGGAAAAACAGAAAAAAAAAGTAAAACAGAATAAAACACTTAAATGTTTTACTGAATTCAACTGACAACAGTAGTTTTACTAATTTTTTTTCCTTTTGCATACATGCTGTTGCATATTCAAATCCAATTCATAAGGAAAGTGCCTGATGTTCAGAAGGTTTTCATTTGAGTACTTTTTGAACTTTGGACAGTTTCTTTATAAATTTGATCTGTATATATAATTGCTTTTATGCCAAGTAGAAAAAGGCATGAAACAATTATCAAAACATCTCTTGATTGTCAAACTCAATAAAACCTCTTTGAATATGTTCACACACAAACATGGCAGTTGCTCAAATCCAAGCCTTTTCTGTGCCTGTGGTAATGATCAACATGTGAAGGCAACCTCCGTTTTGAATGCTCTGCTTTCATTGGTCATGTGCATATCCAACCTGACAGCTCCTTAGGTTTCATTCAGTTTTCAAATAAAAAAAATTCATTTCAGGAAAAGAATCTTTAAGGAAAGATAATAAAATCAAAAACAATTCTCTGCAAAGCAACTTACCATTCTTGTCTCCAGTATCACATTTCTTTGATATTATGATTCTCTAGTAAGGAAGAAAAAAAATATTGGTTTAAGCACTTCTGAAGCTATGAGCTGCTAATATAACTGACTCATTTAAATGAAATAATGCATCACATTATTCTAGCTTTTCTTTCAAGATACAATCAAAGAAATACAAACAACATGAAGTACAACTCACTTGACAGAGTACAAGTTAGATAGGAAGAATACATATCTTTATTTTAGAATTTGTGGAAACTGTACTTTAATACTTTTAAGCACGGTACTAGATTGGCAGTTAGGTCTCATCATTTTACTGTTGAAATTGCTAGATGTAACCACAAATGCAAACAATTTCTTTTCACACACATCTTGCTTGTGGAATTCTCTTCTGGCTTCTTGCTTTCCACTCAACTTTGATCTTCAAAAATGTAAATCCAATGTCTATTGTCATCTTCTGTCTCCTTGAATCCTATTCTTTTATTGTCCTCTCACCTTAATGACAATTTTTCTCAGATTCTCTCACTCTCAGCAAACCCTTGTTTCTTAGTGGCTTTATTGCCTTGCTAAGGGTGAAATTATTAAAAAAAACAAAGAACATTCAAAGCCATTTCATGTAGAGCTGACATGTTTAGATATTTAAGGCAACAGAAATGGGAGGAAACAGTAAATGGATGGCAGAACAAGAAAGGACAGTAAAGAGTTGAAAGTTAACAAAAAACAAGAAGTTGTGGAGAGCCATGATAGTTCATGCTCTGAAAGGATATGACACATAATAGAAAAATAGCCAAGAGTTGGGCTACTCCTGCTTCTTTCTTGTTGTCAGATGTGTGGGTTTCTACACTGGGAATCGTTGTCAGCAGACAATTTGCTTCTTCTATTTCTGTGTCTCTTCAGTATGGGAGTATTCATGGCTCTCCAAAACTTCCTGCCCTTTGTAGCTCTTAGTAGGGTTTGTCCTTTAACTACCTCTCCTAATTTACATAATCTGTCAACCATTTTACCCAGGCTTGTGTGGTAGGTTATTCATTCCAACCAAAAGGTGAGTGCTGAATTCTCCAACTCTCCTTCCACATTATGTTCTCTAGAAATTTCAACTATCAACAATTTGCTACTGAATAATCAATTATTTTGCTTACATCATATTGTTCAGAAGTTTTGTGCATGGAACACGTGGGGTCTGCTTGTTGGCATGGTTGGCTGGAATTGACCAAGAGATGCTAATCTCACAAGTTGATGATTTGATGTTCTGCTGGATTGTAAAAGAGTTGAAAGCACAAGGGGATCCAACTGCAATTGCCCTCAAGCATCTCTATGTTATCGTTCAGAATTGAATCGTTCAAGGTATTTCACACAAATCCCTAACATTGTATGATTGCAATATTCTTATGCTTGTCTGTGACCAGGGTTGGGTTTAGGCATTAAGAGATTCCTGGGATGATAGAATTTAGGAGTCCTTTCATGACAAATGTCCCCACTCACCCCGTCTATTAAAAAAAAATCTTTTTTTAGATGATGCTTTTTTGGTGTCAAACTTGAAACATTTTGTAGAGGTCAGTTAGTTTGTGTGACCTCTCGAATTTATATTTAACGTAAAATAACTGCAAAATATGAAACAATAAGAAGGAACACAAAACGTTTTTTATAACAAAAACAATCTTCATTTTATATTTAAGTACGTAATGATAAACAAGCATAATTTATAGGGGTTACTTCCCTTGGACTGAAATTAAAGTCTTTACTAAAGAAATATTTTTATCTGAGCTCATAGGAAGTTAAATGAACTTGCCACTCAAAATGTTCACTGTGAGAGAGTTGAAAGAATTCTGGAAAGCTGAAAATATGTTGATAAACTTTTAGCTTCAGAAGAGTTGAAGGAGTGAATGTTCCGTAATGTTTGTAATTAAGTTTAGTACGTACGTGTATGTGGGCGTGTTATGTTTTCATAGTGTCCGCCTGCAAAGGGTCAAAAGATGATTTCTTAAACAGCTACATTTTCGTAAGTGAGAGAAATCAAAAAGAAGGAAGAACAACGTTGTGTCTGGTATTTATAATTAATGTAATCACGTGATCGGCTCAAAAGAGCATTTCTGATTTTTGGCAGAAAAATGGTTTTGGATAATGCATAGGTGTTGTACGGACACAGATGAGAACATGATTTTAATATTAACTAACCAGTGAGAAGCGAGTAAAATATCAAGTCTCTGTGATCCAATTTTTGCACAGATTTGCACAAAATTTGACATTGCTAAAACTTCAACTAAAATTTTTACGATTTTGGAACTCATCCAATTTATTTCATTGTCTTCATTGTCACACTGAGAAATCAAATATACAAAATGCTGAGGACACCCAATTTGTTTTGTGTAAGAGTTGATCAAACTGCTCCTTTTATTCTTTTTAGTTGAGAAAAAAGATCTGCCAGAACAGTTGGATACCATCATAGAGAGAAAAAGTTTTCAACATTAGGAAATACTAAATTTATTTTGTTGTTAAAAATAATCTGATATAAATATTGATGCAGAAGTGTGCTTTTATCAGGAAATTTTTTGCTTCACATAGATGTGAAAATGCTTCACTTCTATTAGGAATAACTCATTCACATTTTCATAAACTTTTCACAAGGAGTTGCTAAGCTTATCACAGCTTAGCAACTCCTTGTGACAAACCATCTTCAGAAATGTTAACATTAACTAAAAAAGAAGTTTTAGCAAATACAAGTGTATGCTTTTGCTCACTTGTCCAAATTGCTTTTGAGAGCAACTATTATTGGATTAAAAGATTGCACTTAGAATCAAATTTTAAAAGACCCACTCCAACTAGAATGGCCCAAATACTCTAAATTGTTTCAAATTGGTTCAAAGAAGCCCCATTAAATCTGAAAATAAATCTGTTTTTATATATTTATTTATATAGTTTTATCAGGGGCCAAAGACTAGAGGGACCCCTCTAGTTTTGGGGCCCCTAGGCTACAGCCTATATATAAATCTGGCACTGTTTGTGACTCATTTTTAGTGATCTGTCTTGAGTGCTTTGTGAACAAGGATTAAGTGAACCACCCAATTGCAAATAACCTAAGAAACTATGGCAAATTTGCTGAGAAGGATTAAAAGATATGAGAGGATAGAATTATGAAGTTGGCTAAAAGATTGTAGAACGTAAAGGAACAAAATATATTATTTAATAAATTTAATGTCAAAAATGAAAAAAATTTTTTTTTTTACTTACACCTCCATTAATACAGTGAGGTATTGTGACAGCATTAGTACAGCAGGGATTTCAAACACCCCATTTCAAATATAAATATAAAATTTAGTTCTTCAAATTATGTATTGTTCTGAACGTTCTTTCTGGTTTTTATAAGATAAACAAAAATTGAAAAAAAAATAAGGTGTTATTTTGAAAAAAAAAAAAAGCCAACATTAAAAAATGAATTTCTAAATTTTGAGATTTCAAATATGCAAAAATAGGTTTCATTTTATTTTCAGCATGATCTTTTTAAAATAATTTATAATTAAAACTGACTCCACATTGACGGCCTTTTCAAATTCCAATCAATGAACAAAGTTACTTTGATCTTTGATTATGTTTCAACCATAATCATTACAGTTTTCACTTTGCAGTCATGTGCTTGTAATTCAAACAAATATTATAACTAAATCCAGAACCCCATTGAAGTTACTTGACAGAGGTATCTGGAAAGCTAATCGACAGAGGCATTCACAAAGCACCTTGAACAATCAAAGTTGAGATAGAGTAATATTCTCTACTCGTATAAATGATGAAAATTCAAAGAAATGAGGAGGAAGTCTTACCGGCCAAACAAGCTATTATGGTGCACTGCAGGCTTTTGTCTATCCACACAGCAAACTGATGATGAGACCAACAAGATTTGGTTCTTGTATTCAGTGCGATCCATTTCTTCTGTGGCTGCTTCCAGATCTTTAGGATTTGATAAACAAACAAAACCTTGTGTGCTAGAAAATCAGGTAAAACAGATAAACAGATTAATAAATATATAAATAAATATATATATGTTAATATACAAATAAAAAAAAAAAACAACCAAACAAAAGAACAGATGAAATATTTCTGAGATGAGGCATTGTAACTATTTACACTATTTACATTGATTGTGACTATTGGAATTTCGAACCTGTGGATAAAAGCATTGGTTGAAGTCATCCAGTGACTTGTCAGTTCAATACCTGGCCACAGCAGAGGTGAGTTGCTCATAGGAATTAACTGAAACTGAGATATTCAGAAAAGGCATGGCACATGGAACTAGAACAAACTATTCCTATGGACTAAATAAAGGGTTCAGTTTGAAATTCCAGTGTATATCACCTGAAGAAGTCCAGAGCGTTCAAAGGCCAAAACGTTGTGAATATGACAATAAAGAAAGATGACAAATGAACAGGTGTTAAAAAATATAAATAAAGTAATTAAACCCTTTTGAATTCCTTTATCATTTTATGGTTACAATTTTATAATAGAATTCTAGGACGAACACTAAATCCATTAAAAGAACATGAATTAAGAATAAAGAAATAAATTTCAATGAGAATTAAAATTACACTGCCTCCTGAGAGCTTGTTTCTCAGGAACAATGTTTTAATCAAATCAGTCAGGTGAAATGTATCTGCCCTGTAGCGAGGCTGAAATGTGATGTACATATAAATTATAGCTTTACGGTATACCATATTTATAAGGTAAAAAATGCTCAATATATGGAATAGAGCATGTGTAAATAGTAATGGCCAAAGTGATATTTAGCTACCCCCCCCCCGGTTACATGTGGCACAAGGCCGGGTTTAACGTGGGATCTCTGAGCCCGTAGGCTCGGCCAAAAATATTCCCTCTTCGAACCTGCATAAACGGGTTCAGGGGCAGTCAACCACCCTGAACGAGACTGCCCTTTGGCGGAGCCTTGTCCAGGTTCCTCTTTGCCCAAAGGCAGAGAGTTAGACTGTTAGCCAAGTTAATTAAGTAATGGCCAAAGTGGCAACAATCTTTTTCATACAGCTCTGTGTGTGTGTGTGTGTGTATGTATATATTTTGATATTATTATTTTAAAATATTTTATCATGACATAGAAATTTCTATGTTTTAGAACTGAAAGTTAAAATTTATTGTTCCATTTTTAAGTGATTTTGAATAATTTCAGAAAAAAATGATTTACTTTTGCAAGCGAAGTTGTATTATAATGAAGAGTTTAAGTGGAAGGGGGAATGAGATTTCAAAATTTTATTATGGTGTTGTCTTGTTTGATGAATCTAAATAAAGGTCTAAGCTAAATTGGAAAAGTGAAAAATTTGGGTTAGAGGTTAAGTAATTCATGCTCGTCTAGAATTGTCAGGAGTGTAATAGACATGTCATCTTCACTTCATTTAAAGAACTTATGCATATGATACACTGAAATACAGAGAGGTATATGTATCGAACAATGGGTTAATTTTGGCATTATTTTTTTTAATTTACTTTTTTTATACTTTAGAACTGTTTTAAAGGGGCCTGTAGTATGACTAAATTATTTTTTATATATTTAATTATAATGATCTAAAATGCAATACACACACACAGACAGACAGAGTAAATTCTAGCATACAAGTTGTACTCAAAATTCTATGCTTACCATATAGGTTGACATACAGTAGGCTACAAGTGACCTAAACGGATTTTTAGGCTTGAAAACATGACCCCAAAAAATTTTGTTAGACTTGAAAATTCAACTTGTAAACCACAATTCACAGTGTACATATATTATTATTATGATTCAACCCCAGTTGGGATCAGAGTTCCCAACTCTGCCCTGCAGTTAATTGTGCTAATCAGTGACAGTATAGTACTACCTTGCCAGGGTAATAAATGGTTTTGAAATCGGAGTTGTCCTTCTCCTAGAGTGGTTGTCAACAATGGTTAGAAGATGAATTCACAGAGAAGAGATGAATGAATACCTTTGCCAATGGTATTTGCCCAAAAGTGAATGTAATGAACGTGACACACCAATTTCTTTTTCTATGATGATAACCATTAGAATATTCACATACATCAAGCAATTAATGCAAGTAAACCAATCAGAAATTACTTACCTTCGGCTTTTATCATTCCCATTTATAATAATAGCTTTGGTTGGATGATAATGTTGAAATAATCTCAATAAATCTACCTGTTTAAAAAAAGAAAAAAAAGATTAATTTTGATTGGTTTTCTTCAACTTCCTTTGACAAAGTGAATTTAGGATAAATAACATTGTAGTTCCCAATAAAATTAATTTCTTTTTATTCCTTAGTTAGGGGAGCTTGTCTAATACAGATGATGCATTTACCAATTCTGCTATGAAGAAGGATAAGTCAGGCTGGGCTCCCATCTGGATTAATTTAGCGAATAGTGGCCATAATATATGACGGTTATAAACTAATGATCATTAGTTTTTAAAAGTCATGTATTATGCAATAGAAAATTGCTGTGATATAATGCAGCAAAACTCAACACCAATAACCAAACAGTGCTAAATGTTACCATGACAACAGAATACCTCATTGATAAGTAATGAGAAGAGTTTGCTAATACATTTTTTTTTTTTTTTTTTTTTTTATGTTAGCTTCCTTGGATATATTTATGTTTTTACTTTTTAATTATTTAAAAAGCAGAATTCTTTCTGACATGCATCAATTTAGTTAATTACATAGGTAGAAATCATTATTACACAGTCTGGAAAATATAAACAATGCAATTGCAGAATTACTTAGATATTACTATCAATATTTGACAGCAAGGGTTAGTGCCACTTTCCTTGGATACTTTCACTTTTAATGATTTAAAAACAAAATTCTCATGTGCAATAACAGAGTTGACTATCTCAACAAAAATAAGACAAATGTAGAAAACAATCCGTAGAATTGCAAAATTGTTTGAATAAGGCCAGCATTTTTTTGCAATATAGGCTATGCCAGTTTTTACATATATTTTGCTTTTAATGATTTAAAAAGCAGAATTCTTTCTTACATGTGGAGAGGTATTTGTAAGGATAAGAATACTAGATTACTTGTGTAGAAAATATAAACCAATGAAAGTGTAAATAAAATTTTGATGGTAGGGGTAAAATTACAAGCAGCAAAATGCAGTATTTAAAAATGGGTATGGCTGACATTCCCCCCCCACCCCTGAATCTCTGATGTGCCCCCCTCTCTCTACTACATGTCAAATTCAAAGTTTCCCTTCTTGAAGGAAAATTGGAGGGGTAAGTGCAGCGTTTTTTTTTTTTTAAATTACCAAATCATCCAATTTAAATGAAAATTTTAGTACCTATTTATTTATTTATTACTTATAATGAATAGGTTTTTTTTTTAAATCTGAGAAAATGTTTTTCTTTTTGTAATAAACACCAATATTTTCATGACTAAATTTTACTCCAAAAATTAGTTTAAGTTGCAAATTTTTACATTTCCATAAAGATTAATCATCAATGCACCTACACTGAAAAAAAAAAAAAGTTTTATAAAGAATGTACAAAAAAACAACCCCGACAAACTGAATTTTCTTTAAAAAAAAAAAATGGTGCTAATGCATGACAGGACTTTATGTATTTACCGTTTTGATGACCGTTTGACAGAAAAATTAGGGCCAGTAAGGGCTTTTTAGGATTAGTAGTAGGCTATGAGTAGAAATTTTTTGTAAATGTTTGACGACTGAGATAATCCACAATTTACCAATAAATTGCTACATTGTTTAGCGTCTCTCTCACCTGGTCTTGTTATGCATTAAAAGAACTTAAAAAGATTTTTTCTTTTAATTTGATTCATTACTAAATAAATGCAGAAATTGATTTAAAAGTATAGTTCAGAAAGAATATTACAATTTAAAAAAAAAAAAAGTACTAATGAAAAATTCTGTTAGTTGATGACTGACAATGTAATGTCAGTTTAAAAATAATTTAAAAAAATGGCGGATGGCCATAAAACTGTTGAAAAAAAAAAACAAAAAAAAGAGGCCACAATGGGGCTCAAAAAAAAAAAAAAAAAAAAAAAAAAAAATCAAAGGAGCCATCCTTGGAAATGGGTTTACAAAATGTAGCTCACCATTTTTAATTTAGCAACCATGAGGAGAACTAGTTTGAAGATGGCTGCATAATAATAGAAATGAATATAGTTGTGTGGCTTATTTAAGCAGCATTGACAAGTCAAGGTAGTGAAGCTAAATAAGTACTGCCATAAAAACAGAAGCTCCCATGATGCAATGGAGACAAGTTTAAATATGGCTAGAGAGGGATCCTTGATTTAATGATGCTTACTGAACAGTCTGAGAATATCAAGCTGAGAGTTACAATAAAAAGCAAGAGAAATAAGATGAAAGAAATACTAGTCCAAAATGAATAATAATTGACAATACTTCATCTAAGAAATTTGAATCCTATTAATACTACTACTAATAAAGCATATTTAAGTAAGCAGGGCAGATGAGAAATAAAGAATAAGCCTCCAATAAAAAGCAAGAGAAATAAGACTGACACACTAGACAAAAATAATGCTTTTAAATATTTAAGATTGTGAGACAAACTATTTTTATCCTGAATTTTGGCAAGCATTTTTCATCTATCTGTTAATTTCTCTGTATTATACAATGCTAATATTGGTGAGGCTCAAGTCATGACCGATCTTGGCAGCAAAAAAGATTTGTTGTGGTCCATATTAGTAGAATTGTGAATGCAGGTATGGCCTATTTGCATGCATTACCTGTGGTCTATGCAAAACATTTTGCCAAATGATAAGCCAGGGATCAAGTTTTTGACAGTTGAATTTTCAGCTTGGTACCTGATTGTGAAAGGATAGCAAGGCTTGCACTGAAGCAACAACAAACCTTACAAATGAGAGCACTTATGCCAGTGTTTTTTTGTTTTTCTTTTTCTTTCCAATAACATCCAAGCTGGATTGAAACAAAATAAAGAAATATCTTCAGATAAACAATGGCTTAATCAATTCAGCCATGTAAGTTTTCTTCACTATGCAGAACGCATCTGGAGTCATTCTACTTTTTCCTTTTGACTTTGATACTTTATCGTTAGCTTACTATCCTCAGGGCTCAAGATTAATGTTGTCTTGGGGTCAATAGTTTAGAATGGCCCGTTAAAAAAAAAAAAAAAAAAAGCCTGAAGAAGTATGGGCTCTGTCAGTCTACCTTGCCTTCAACACAACCATTGCTGATACAGCTGCAGTACATGTTGTGTTCCAACAACGTTAATGGGTCATAAGACACACGATTTATGCATACATTCTTGCTGTATTCTCTCAATAATACTTGCCTTAACTCCTGACCACTGACAATAGCTTTTAATTTTTAATGCACTACAGTAAAATCAATAGCCAAATAATTACATTCACCCCATCCTGCTAGTGATATGTAATTCCTGACCATCGACAATACCTGCCTTCTTGATTTCCATGTCTCACACGCAGAATTAGAACCGAGCTAATTCGGTTAGTAGGGTTTTAGTATTTTACAAATAACAAGCAAAGACTAACCTCACTGGTGCCGTAGGGAAAATTACCAACAAACAAGTGGAAGAAATTTTGCATATTTGCTTGTCTTGTATTTCCATTAATCGGTCTTTCAAAATAAATGTCTGCATTACTTTCATTGCTGTTGTCGTCGTCATCATCATCAGAAGAAGAAACAATGTTTTCCAGAGGTGGCATCCTGGCTTTCAACTCGTCGTAATCTGGATTAACATGAGGCGTGGAGTTAGCAAAGTTTTTGCGTTGTTTAGCATTGTTGTTAATCTCTTTGTTCAATGGCCTGTTTGAATTACCTGCAAAAAGTATTTGTTAAAGACACATGAATGACAAGATGACAGACATGGTGATGTGGGGATGAAAGAGCAGTTGGATCTCAGTTAATAATAAGTAGAAGTAGTAATAGTAATGAGGAGTCGCTTAGTCAGTCGATACCGGACGACCGTTAGTTGGATACTAAAGTATCAGCGACCACAACTAGATTTCTCTGCGTCATTACCTATTATAACCTGTTATTCCTAACGTTTTGTACATCGAACCTATTTTAGGACCTACTTAGTACAAATACAAGCCTCCACTGTGAAACCACTCCATAACAGTTTTATTTCACTGGTTAGTAATGTTGAAATATTACAGTATCACTAAATCATTCTTGTTGGTACCTTTTGGTAATTCTAGCTGTTCAGAAAATTTTTGTTCGCTGGTGGCTGATTTCTTCTTTTCTCTTATTTAATTTTAAAGTATCGTAATCGACAGCTGATGGTTGTCCACTTCCGGGCTTTATTACCAAAGGACAAATGACTACTATTAATTGTCGTCTAAGTTGCACAGAAATGAAAATAACACTGATATATCATTTTAACAGATGTTTACCAAAATTACACAAAAGCAATTTGAAATCGTAAAGAGTAAATGTACTCAATAAAATCACCATTGGCTTCAACCACGGCCTCCGGATGACTCGTCAATCACCTGCAACTCTTCTGGAAGGTCTCCTTGTTTAAATTGGTGAATGCTGCCATCATCTTTGGTGTTACAAGAAGTTTTGTTGGTCTCTCGCTCAACCGTGCCCCATTCATAATAAAGAGGGGTTGCAGTCTGGGGAGTTAGGTGGCCAGATGTAAGGGGTAATGTGGTTGCAGAAATAGTCCAACAACCATGACTGGGTTCTCCTGCTTATATGGCATGGTGCAGAGTCCTGTTGCCAGACATAGCATCTTCTAACAGCCATCCTCTTGACCCATGGCAGCACTACCTCCACAAAACACTTGATGGAGGTCTCTGTGTTGAGTCTGATGGCCAGTGTGAAGATGAATGGGGGCATAACATCGCCATCACTAGTATCACTCCAAACACCATAATATTGACTGGATGTTATCATCCAACTCTTTCTGAATTCGCTGAACTGTCCTTAGATCGAAACCCAAACACTCTGAAATGTTTGTATTGGAGCTTTCAGCATGAATGTCAAGCAGTACAGTATGCCATTTCCAAATTTCTGGTGGGGTGAATTGCATCATAGTGCTCTTTTTCTCAGACACTGCCCAACTGACTCTACTATACTTTGTGGTTGACAGAATCAAAAATATACAAATTCATGCGTGGAATTAAAAATATAAAATGGCGACAATTTACCCATCGCACTCGGTACTATTAAATCATTTTAACCAGTTTGAGGCAGTACGTTCAGATAATGTTTCATTTCCTTCCGCTTCCTAAGTTCTATAATCAGTAGCTTTGTGGCCGTGTTTAAAATAATGCCTTAAATTTGCCAGAATCTCACTACAGTAATTCCTTGATTATTCAGACAACTTAGGACATGGGCCAAAAGATATGTTCAGAAAATTCAAAATTAATTTAAAAAAAAAAAAAAAAAAAATTCTTGGAAAGAAATTTTTTTAATTTTTTTTTTTTAAAATTAATTCACTCCAAGCAAAGCAATAATGCCACTAAGATGCAAGGGGCTACTGAGAGCGAAAGAGAATGAAAAAGACTTCAGAAGGAATTGAGAACCCAATTCTAAACAAGACCCAAGAGATAAAACTTTACACCTGTTCAAAAGACAGGGCAAGCATGCGTTTGATTATCCATCATTTCACCCTGAACAATATAGATCCATGCCATATGAGTTCATTTTTCCATTGAATATCTGTGACATGAGGAGGAGCATAAACTGACTTTATTTAAGATTTTTTATTAAGATTATTTGAGTTAAGATTTTGTTCAGTTTATTTTTGATGAAAAAAAAATGTGTCAATTTTTGTCTGTTTCTGGCTGACCTTGTATTTTTTAAGGATTTTTTTGCCACTAACTTCTGAAGTTGGATTAATGTAGATGTATTTGTAAGTGTAGCTTTTCTGGTTGAAAGTGTAACACACTAAAACATTTTATCAGTGTTTTTATCAGATGTTGAGTATGGTTTTCTACATTCAAATATTCTTGTCTGGGATGAATTGTTAGAATGGGTTTAGTTTGGACAATTGGAAATCATTTGTACGATTGAATTTTCCTCTTCATTTCCAATAATTGAAGAAGTACTGTACTTGTGCTTACCATTATTGAAACAAAAGTATGGCTCAATAGTCTTCATACTTAGATAATATAGAGGAATCCAAAATGACCTTTAGATGTGTAGATATGCTTTGAAATAGAGACCTATAAACAAAAATACATTTGATGCACACTCATACATTCCAGACTGCTGTTGGTTTGGTTCAGAGATTGCACAATACTATGGACACCCACATAGGAGGGGAAAAGATGGTTTTATCTCAATCTCAAGTGTTTCTGTTTGATAGACCAGCTGAGGGTTCCTACTGAAGTTCAGTCTTCGAAGTAGCATCCAATTTGACCAAAGGGTAACATGGAAGTAAAGGGGTGGAGAGGAATTTTTAGAGATCAAGTGGCAACAAAACCAGAAATAGGGTATATCCAGGTGCTTGTATATCATGCTTGGGATTGGAGCAGAGTTTTGGCCTGCGCTTGGTGGGAGATGGATCAAGACACCACATCAAGAGGAGTACATAGGCACAGAGTTAGTAGGGGAAAGAGCTAACATAGCAGAAGCTGTCCCAAATATTGCCTCCTATCCACCCAGATGAACAGGCAAAACCTTGAGCCAAAACACCCAAATATAAGATGGGAAACAGGGTTTGTGTTCTTATTTCTTGATGTGGTATTTGTCTTTCATCATGTTACTTTGTGAACGTACACCACACCTTTGCCCAGCTTTTTTGCATACCTGTAATGAATGGTTATCAACATGTACTGGATAACACAAATTTTCTGTAAGCTGATATGAATATTGTGACAAAAAAAAGCTTCTGGTTGAACCATAGAACCATAACACTAGTTTTCTTTTATATGCCATGTGTCTACTAGAAGTGATTGATCATGGCTCTTCACAATTTCCTGTCTTTTGTTGCTCTGGTTATAGTGATATAAATCGTTTCCTTTTAAGGAAACATTTAGCATTCATTGACCAATCAGCCAGTGCTGCTTTTGGGTGAAATTTATAAAATCTTTCTCTTAAAACAATTTTTTAGTCCACTAGCTGTTATTGCGTTTTCTAGTACTAATGCAGGCTTCCTCACTAACCTTTTGTTTCAAGTAGTGTCGAATATCAGCATCTTGATTACATCATTCTTTTCACTTCAAGTTACCTGTGATATTCATTTTAATTGTGGCTGCTTTTGAAAGTCCTTGAGTGATGTGATTTCTGTTATCTGGTGCAGTTTTTTTGTTTGTGATTCTGTCCGCAAGGTTTGAAAGAAAGATGGTCCTTGCTCAAACTTACAGGTTTCATTCACTCAAAGACATTTTTAACTATTGATCTTGGAAAATAGGTTAATGTTTTGGCTTTGTAGCAATTTGTAGTGTTGGACAAACCTAACTCTAGCCTATTCTATGTTCAATTTTCCTTATCACTTACACTGTAACTTTTAACCATCTGACATCCCTTTATTGTCTTTCTGCTATCCATTTACACCAATTTGTTAAGTAGTTTACTTGCTGTTTCTCCTTGCTTCTCTTACATTCAATGCCCTGTGAGTGTTAAATTCTCTAGGCCCTCTTTCTTCATTAAGTGACCCAGAAATTCTAACTCTTTCTGAAGTACAAGTTTCCTTGTAGTTACTATTTTTCTTAAGGCTTTCTGTCCATTGTATTCTTAGCATTTGTGGGTAGAACTACCTCTGTTGCTTCGAGTCTCTTTGTTTGCTTGGAAATAGTCCATTATGTGCCATCAATGACTTTGATTTAACTCACCAAATCAAGCACTCAACAAGCTGACCATTGGCCCACAGCCTAACAGAAATGGCAAGAGGTAGCATCATAGCTACAGTGAGAGAATTCAAACCTCTTCTCGGTCCAAGTTCATTATGGGCCACTAATAATGAATTTCAATTAACTCCCCAAATCTAGCATTCAACTGATGACCATTTGTCCACCCACACCTTCAGCCAGACAGAAGTGGCAGAAGTTAGAGTTAGTCTTCAGTCAACTATCAAGCAGAGAAACACTTGAATACTTACTTGCTGGTTTAGCTTGAACATCAAAAACTCTGAATCGTCTTAAAGTAAGCGCCCGATTCTTAAACATTTTGCTATGATACAGTTTCACAGACTTTTCAGCTTCCTCTTGGTCAGAAACTTTCAAAAATGCATAACTAGAGAAAAAGAAAAAAAAAAAGAAAAAGAAGAGGTATTTATAGTACAATTATTAACGATATATATATATAAAGATTATGTACTATCTCAGGTTTTACGATACAAATCCTCGTTTTCATATTGCCATCGGTAATATTAGCCATTTCCTTATAAGGAAACATTCGGCATCCATTGACCAAGCAGCCAGTGTTGCTTTTGGATTAAAACATTTTATAAGAAAAACAGGTTTCTCAAGTCCACTAGTTGTTCTTTCCAGTACTGATGCGGGCTCCCAACCTAATGTTATATTTGAAGTGGAGCTTGATTAAGTCATTATTCTCTCTTCAAGTTACTTGTGATACCCATTTTAGTTGCTGCTGCTGCTGCTGTTGAGTTACCTGTGAATTTAGCCAATACAGGTTGAGTATCCTTTATCTGAAATCCTTGGAAATTGCTTTGGTTTTCAGATTTTGGAATACAAAACCATTTTACTTGTATATAGCATCTATAAAATGGGGAAGATTGGTAATGGAACCCAAGCATAAACATGATATCCCTTTAAGTTTCATAACACATTTAAGCATTACACCCCGAGCAAGGCGTGAAGCCACTAGGATGCAGGGGGTTGCAGAAGATTTGGAGCGAGAGCAGATAGGAGTGATAGAAGAAAGGATGAGGAGAGGGATAGTGGGTAGATCAAGGTAACTGGAGATGTCGATTGACATTACATTTGAATAGTTGGAGATTATAGCTCTCAGGGAAACAGTAATTGGGAAGGGTGTTTCATATGCGAGAGGTGCAAGGCATGAAGCTATTGGAGTAGAAGAGACGGCTACATTTAAAAGTTTCTACAGTGTAAGGGTGGGAGTGGGATGCCAGCCTCATAGGGTGCTTGAATTCATGGAGTCTGGGAACCAGTGAAAGCAGCTCATCAGAACAATTACCATGAAAGTATTTGTAGAAAAGACAGAGAGAGGCGACGGTGAGTTGGTGAGAGAGTGACTGTAGACGAGACGCCAGATCAGGGCCAATTATATTACATATCTGTCTCTGGATCTTGTCAAGAACTCCGAGATAAACAGAATGTGCCCCAGACCATATATGGCAGCAATACTCCATGCAAGGGCGAATGGTTGATTTGTATATTTGAAATGTCGATTCCGGGAGAAAAATTTCCTGGCCTTTGGCACAGAGAGCCAACTTTCCTTAGGGGTTGAAGAAGCAATTGACTCAATCTATTTGTTCCATCTCAGATCAGCAGTCAACGTGAGACCGAGCAGACGCAGGGAGTTGCTCTCAAGAAGTTGACTATCAGACATTCTAATGGGGGGGGGGGGGAAGAAGGATCTCTATGGTGATTAATAGAGAGTATACCCTGAAAGTAGTTTTTATGTAAAATTTAATAAATTTTGTGTACAGGTAATGACTCGAGTCATGTAATGCTCACATGGATTTTTAACAGGTGAAAATTAAGATTTCATGTAAAAATAAGGTTTTGTACTTTCTGTACGAGTACAAAAAAACATGATCACTACTTACAAAAAAATATATATACATGCAGGACTTTTTGAATATCTTTACTGAGCATGAAACAACTGGCAAGTAATCCATGAATGAAGGTGTTGCTGTGACAGTCATTAACAAAAAACTGGTGCCAACATAGGCTACATAGCTGGGCTTTCTGAATTTTTCCATTTTGTGTCAAGTCATGTCAGCACTTGAAAAAATTTCAGATTTTGGAGGTTTTCGGAATTTGGAATAAAGGACACTCATTCTGTAATATCAATTTTTATAGAAATACTTACAGTACTTACAGTAACTCGTTTGGTAGTTTGTAATTTTATTACATAACTTTGACATATTGTGTGTATGTGTATATTATATATATATATCATACTTATTATAAAACTCAGGTTGTGTGTGTGTGTGTGTGTTCGTTTATATATTGGATCGGATTTCCTACATTTTTCAACAGATTTCAACAAAATTTCACAGGACTACATGAAATTACCTTGCAGTGGTTCTGACAGTGCCAAAAATTGGAAAAATACAATTGTTTTTGCACAAAATCAATTTGAAAACACGATTAAGAGGCATCGCAAGAATGAAAGGGGGACAACTCATATCGAGTTATACTTATTATAAAACCCAGGTTGTGTGTGTGTGTGTGTGTGTTTGTTCGTTTATATATGGGATCGGATTTCCTACATTTTTCAACCGATTTCAACAAAACTTCACTTTTTTTTTGGCAGGTAGTGTTTCTTATTGTCTTGCACACTTTTTCTTTATTTTACATTCAGAATGCTTTAAAAATTCCATTTACAAGACAATTGTTTATAATAAAATTGAAAAATTCTTTTCAATCGGTAGACTCATAACGATTGAAAACAATGTTTTTGTTTGAGTTTGACCAATTCGTAAAAAAAAAAAAAAAAACTAATTAAGACATGCGTGTCCATCAACCTTAAACAATAATCTTTGTCAATTTTATTTTTCAGATGGTCGATACTTGATCTATCTCTTACTGTTACATCCCCATGCAAACGCCGGGCTCTACTGCTAGTATATATATATATATATATATATATATATATATATATTATAATTATTATTTAAAAATATGTATTCATTTTGACACAGAAATTACCATGTTTCAAAACCTAAACCTTAAATTAAACTTTTAAGTTTTTATTTCATTTTCAAGTGATGTTGAATAACTTGAAAAAAATGATTTACTCTTTTTATAAGCTAAATAGTATTATATAGTTTAAGTTGGTGGGGAATGAGATTACATTTAAGGGGGAGGGTGTTGGTTCTTTTGATGAATGAGGATACAAATATAATTTAAGGCAGCAAAGTAAATAGCAGTTAAGGGTTAGGTGTGGGTTTGTAATTTCTGTCTGTTGATACTGGCTTCCTTATATGAGAATGTGTCATCACTGTTGTGATGAATACATATTTTTAAATAATAATTATAATATTAGGCTCTAAATTTTAAAAATAAATGATAAAAACTCTGTTCTTTTTATTTTGATATTATATATATATATATACAGATCTTCTTTTTTTTTTTTAAATAAAGTTTACCGCAGATCATACAACAGATATAGCATTAAAAGCGAAATAACTAAATAAATGGGTATGTGGACGAGCAGTTAGGACATTTGCTTTTTGACCATGAGACCCATGGACAAGTGGTCAGAGAGGTGACTCTCCAATGTTATTGGGCTGAGGAGACAAACCCAGCATGCAGCATCTCTGGAAACTGCCTGGATTTTAAACCATGGGTTAACCCAAGCCTTGTGAGTGAGATTGGGTAGACAAAACAGTTCAGCAGCCATCAATGATTGTGCTTGCACACAAGTCACAAAAAAAAAAAAAAAAAAAAAAAAAAAAAATATGCACCCTCTCCCAGAAGTTGTAACTAAGGCCTGCCCAAGCATAGTTGCAGTATAAACAACAGAGCAGACATCAGTAATAGGGTTTGACAAGTCACCCTGTCAGACAGGTGTGGTCAGAAACAAGCAGTAGCTGGCCATAAGTAAATTTATTGAGTGATGGGGGTACACAATGTTATAAAAAAAAAAAAAAAAAAAAAAAAAGCTTGATAGAAATTGGGAAACAAAAGCATTAAACTGACAATATTGGCAAAAACAAGAAAAACTGGCTTTAAGAAAGTTACAAAAAGAGATTTTAGAAAAATTAAACGTGTAATAGACAAGCAATATATAAATTGGGCAAAGTAGTAAATGAAAACTGTTTTTTTAATGGTAATTTTTAGTGATGAATGCAGAGCTGTATTGGATGAACCTGATAACCTGGGTGAGAGATCGGACCCTTCATAGAAAGGGTTGACCAACATAAATTAAAAGACGACATAGAGAAAAAAAAAAAAAAAAAAAAAGTAATGCTTGGTACTAATATTGTAAGCAGTAAAATTATAGGTCTCTTCACAGTCAATGACAGTACCAAGATAAAAGCAGAGAATTACTTTTAAGTTCTCGGATGAGGCATCTGTATTTTTTGTGTGGTACTGGTAAGTTTGAAACATGTAACTGGGAAGAATATTAGAATAATCCAGAACCTATGACTAGCAGTAAACCTCCTGCATCCGTATAGAAACTATATTCAGTAAATATACAAAAATAGAAAGGGGTTTAAGGCAAGGATGGGTCTTCTCACCAGACTTATTCAACCTAAACAGTGAGGCAATTCTGAGAGAAGTAGAAGGTTTCATTATTGGTGGCCATGATCTTGACAACATAAGATATGCAGATGAGACAATGTTGAGAGAAGACACAGAATGGAAAATACAGGAACTCCTACAGGTGGTAGTAAAGGAAAGTTAAAAGAAAAGACTAAGCATAAATTCCAAGACAGAATGTATGGTTGTCAGCAAAAGGGATAGCCCAACATGTGAATTACAAATTGGAGATACCAAAATCAAGCAAGTACATAAATTTAAATATCTAGGAGATGAAGAATGGAAAATGCAACACTGAAATCCAAGGGCACATTGGGATAGCAAGTATTAAGAAACAGGAAAATCTCATAACAGACAAAGAGTACGGAACTGTTATGTAATATTGGTCCTCCTATATGGCAATAAATGCTGGACAATCTCTCAGATGAAGAGGAGACTTGAGGCAATAGAAATGTGGTTCTACCGAAGGATGCTGAGAATACCATGGACTGAACATGTGACCAACGATTAAGTTTTAGAGAAAAATGCAGTCAAAAAGGATACTTATATTGAGCACCAGAAAGAGAGAGTTGAAATTTCTAGGGCACATAATGAGGAAAGAGAGCTTGGAAAATTTGACACACACAAGACATATTGAAGGTAAGAGGGACAGAGGAGAGCTGAGCATAACCTAACGAGCTTGTGTAAATGGTTAGCAGAACAGGGATTAGGAGAGATAAGTGAAAAGACAAAAATTTACAAAGAGCTTTAAAGGACAGAAAGTTGTGGAGAGCCGTGATTATCCAGGTCTTGAACGAACACGGCACATAGAAGACTTTAAGCTAAAGATTATATTCATGAAAGATGATGCTCATTTATGTTCTGCAAATCCAACTATTGCTCATCTTGCCAAAAAAGGTTTCAAAGACGCTAAATTAATGGAATACCAACCATCACCATGCGGCTCCTTATTAATTTCCTGTTAAACAGATAAAAGATCTGTGTTCTATTATTAAAACAGACAAGCACGAGAATGGAAAATAATACCTGAGCAAAGTCCTTTAGGAAGCAATACAAGCTGCTGCAAGTCATGTTGATTGACTGATTGTGCTTAATGGCCCTCCAACCTCTTGTGGGTCATTTAGAGCCAAATTGATTGTGTTGTAAACATATTTTATAGTTTTACTACCAGCATGGCCTGGCGTTGCCTGTGCTTGATTAAAAAATCGTACAACTCATACAGCAATCGCTATCACTTGACTTCAAATATTTTTGCCCTTCCTTGCCTTTAAAGGAGTGCCCTTTCCTGTGCTGATGTTGCTACATGTCTTACTTCTTGCCTATCTCACACTGCAAATTTTTTCTAAGCTCTATACTAAACATTAAATCTGTTACGAAAAAAGAACTAAACAAAATGAATACAAAACGATCAGCTTTAAAAAAAGAACTGAACTCATAACTGGAAAAACCGAATGAAAAATAATGTTAACAACAAATACTTTTTCATACTCAACCCAGTTCTGCGGAATCAGAATCAACGTTGAGTTTAAGCAAGCAAATGAGCCAATTGAAGAAAGTGCCATGCAGATTTAAATTTTTCCCACTTGTGATGAATGCAGCTATTGATTTTTTTTGCATGCTAGTTAACATTCGTGTCAGTCAGGTGTTGGCTCTCACGCTGGCCAATAGAATCTTCCTGCCTATTCGTGGTAGCCAGCTATAGGCTCTCACTCTGGCCAGTAGAAAATGGCCACAAACTACATGAAAACTGCCATAGAAACATGAAAAAAATCTATTATTTCCACTATCGATGGGAGTTGGGAAATGCAACATCAGTCTTGGCCTCTCCGCTAACTTGAAGCGTGTGCATGTAAATTTTGGTGCAAATCTGTTGAAAATTGTGACTGTGCATTCGTTACACACACATCCTGTCTTTTACAGATAGAGATATTGTACATGGAAATTCAAAGAGTGTGACAAGATTCAATCTGTATCTGGATTAATATCAAGTGAGCACGTGCCCAATCGGCTGGAGAAATATCTGCCTATCACATCTGATATTTTGTTTTTTTTATGCCCCCAAAACATAGATGATTATCAACTACTTCCTGGTTATTTAAAGGCAGAAAATACTTTTAGATTGTAAGAATTTTTGTTTTTAAGATAATGATTTAGTGATACAAGTCTTACTAATTAATCCATGGCAGGGCTAGGGGGGAGTGGTGGATTCATATCTTTCCCAAGGGTATTTGCATGCAAGTGAATAAAATGAACCCAACTGAAATTGGAACTCTGCTCTCTGATTAACAATTCCAGGACATTATCCATTACACCACCCACACACCCAAGCTTACAGCACCTGGTAATGATTTCCCTTATAAACATCAAGATTTCAAGATTTGATTAACAGAAAAGTTTCTTACATTAGAGAAATATCAATTTTTATATATTTTTACATTTTGGACTCTGAATTAGCTGGTAGCCATGAGGATTTCAACAGCAATACAAGAAAACATGGTGGTATGGAATTTAAAAGGTTCATATTGAAGTATATTGTTGGTGGGTGCATGCTTGTATGTAAACAAAGAAGAAACATAAAAAAAAATTTGGTTTCTACCGAGGACCATTTATTTTATTTTTTTTATGTTGACTGCAGTGAAATGAAGTCTCTTGGTTACGTCAGTTTTCTTTTTTGGTCCAGGGAGTTAGGATAAGCAAGTATAAGCATTGTTTTAATGGTCGAGCACAAGTCAGTCTTGTGCAGAGTTGGAACAACCCCAAAAAGTTTGATATTGGTTTGAACATGGTTATGGAATGTTCGTTTTCTTTTTCTTGCTCCAGAAGTTAGGGTAAATAAGGATAAGCATTATTATAATGGTTGTGCTCAGGCCAGTCTTGCACAGCATTGGAACAACCAAAAAAAGCTTGAGTTACTTTGTAAGTGGAGGTTTGGAAGCCACACGTGAAGCCATATGTTGGAAAGTGGGAAGAGAGAGTCAATTATCAGTGGATTGGGAAACTAAGATGCTTCAGTCGGACCATCTGTTTTTTCAATGGACTGCTACATTGTGAAGCAAGGAAGAAAAAAGAGTGAGGCAAGTTTGGGTTGGTTTGTTTTATGGCATATCAACCCTTTGGGTCATTTAATGCCAAAATTTAAGGTTTTTTCTAAACATTTCCTTGTTTTTAAACAATCAATAGGTTTTATTTTAAATAGTACAACTGCTGTTATTATAATTTTTTTTAACATTATGTTTTTGAAATCAGTTTAATTTCTCTGGACTATGTAAAATGAATCAGTATTTTGAAAAAATTCTTTTAATTTGGCTGCCTGGTAGTATTTTAAGGGGATTAAATTAAAATTGCTGCAGTTTATGATGAATGGCTCTTGCCATGCCACACATACTGGAGGATCTTTCTTTTTAGGATATATGAATTGGTTATAGTAGTATATCCAATATGGAACCTGAACATAATCACTTCTTCACTTCTAGTTTGGTGTTTCTGATGCCATTCCCCTATAGTTGGTTTCATTTTGTACAGTTTATTGTTTGGGCAAGAGTTTCATAGGTTCTGCCACTCTTCCCTAATATATTTAATGATTGTTGGTTTGAAATCTGTATATAGGATTTCAGTATTTGAGGCGTTTCATGAGATTTTATAGTAAAAGCTTTTCTTGCTGAGGAATCTACTCTATTATTCCCTGTGATACCAATATGGCTTGGTATTCAGCAGAAGACAATATCACTATTTAAACTATTCATCCTGTTGAGTAGTTTAATGGTGAGTGGATTTGACATTTTTTTTGTTTTAGTGCCGTGATCACCGACATGGAGTCAGTGTATATATAAATTTTTTATGCTTACTTGAATTTATGACATCAAGGGTGAAGTCAATAGCTGTCATGTTGGCACTAAATATGGAAGCTTTGTCTGAGAGTGGTTTCATTAATTTTGAAGTGGATGGCTGCACATCCAACTTGAGATCTGTCTGTATAGATGGTCTGCATAAGCATCTTTGATGGAGTAATTCTTCATGGAATGGGATAGGACTGGTTTTGGATTTTTGGAACTCACTGAATTTTAATACGAGGTTTGATTTTTATCATCCAGGGAGGTGTTTTAGAGTTGATGAACATGGATTTGTGTTGTATGTTTTTTTTTAATGACATTTTTCATATGGATACCATATGATGTAATGGGTGTTGTTGTCTTTTTTTGTTAAAGAGCTCAGTATATTGTGTATGACATGTGTATTTATATGAAGGATTTGATGGGCAGGTTGAGAGTTTAATATTGAAGAGCCAGCTTTTTTTTCCATCGTATTCCTAATAGAGGGTCATGAGCTTCTGTGAATATTTCTTTCACTGGAGATGAGGAGAAAGCTTCAAGGGCTATTCTTAAACCTTGATGATGAACTGTGTTGAATTCTCTTATGTCAATTTTACTTGCTTCACCATATATGAAGCAACCATAATAGAGTTTTGATCTAATTAATGAGCAGTATATTTTGAGTAATGAGAGTGAAGCAGGAAATGTTTGCCTTTTTATAGACTTCAACAATGGCAACCAACAGAGTTTGATAAAGGCAAGTGGGGTAAACATGTGTGGTTCCTTTACTCTTAGAATTATGTGGAAATGTATATCTTTTCCATTTTTTTTTTTTTTTTTTTATTATTATTTTATTTATTGATTTTATTTCATTTTCCCACAGTGGGAATTTGAACAGATCAATCAAATTTGGGAATATAATCTACTTACCATTTGCTTTTTTCTTGAAAACTCTGCATTCTAAAATATCAATTCCTGATAAAATTCTTGGATCTCTTCCTGAAAGTAAGAAGCAAAAGTATCATAGGTAAAAGAAATAGGAATAATGTTATATATATATATATATATATATATATATATATATATATATATATATATATATATATATATCTTTTTTATTAATCTGACAGATTTTATTTCTTAAATGTTATTTTTAGTAGATACCCATATTTAAGTAGATGCTCTGCAGTATTCGAACTTGTTTCCCTAGGGGAAACCGTCATTTGATTTACTTTGACCTCTTGTCTACAGAGTGTGTTGATGACCAAGCAAAGTTGAATAGGGCCTTTAAACAGATTTTTTTCTGTCTCTTGAAATAGGATATGAAACTGAACAGATATGTCTAAAATAAACAAAGGAATTTGTAAAGAAATGGATGGATTTTTATTTGTTAATCCTTCTTGAATCTTATGAAAATTTTAATCATTTTTAATCCTATTTTTATTTTAATGCTTTGTAACAGTTGAATCTCATTCATTATAAAATGCTCAAATTGGATATCTGTGCTATTTAGCTTTCAACTTTGTAATAATTTTTTTACATTTGTTGTAAAGTTTGCTAAAATTAATCATATGTTTTTAAAAAAAAAATGTTTTTACTGTATTGTTGCACTTATATTTTTTTTTCTTTTAACAAAAAACACTGATTCTTTTTAGAAATTATTCAATTTTTTAGTTGCAAGAAATTTATTTTTGTAAAATTTTAGATTGAAGACCCTTTATTATTTATTAAGTTGTTGTGATAATTCATATTTAATTCTTAATAAATGTCTGTAAACAAATTTAAAATTTGCATTTATTTGTTATTCACTGTCCTGCAGGATTAGGTACTCTTTGTACTTTATCAAAATATATGCATGAGTTAAACCACAATACACAGGATGATGCCTTTCTGCCTAGAGTATTATTGTTGCATTATATATATATATATATATATATATATATATATATATATATATGAGTGTCTCTTATTTTTGAAGTGCATGCTGAAATTGAATTGTCATCCCTAAATTTGTTCCATTCATTGAAAAATACCACATATAAAATTTTAAGGAGATTGCATAATATTTAGAAGGCACCTTTGCTTGTTAAAACTTAAAATGTATAAAGGTGGACAAAAAAATAGACCCATTTTTATTTTACAATTAATAGCAAACAATTATTAGTTGAATCTTTATAAATTATACATCAGAAAATGAGAAACATTTTTTTATCTAACAGTAAAAATTTTTAATTTTAACTAATGTTTATTATTTTCAGATCCTAATTATGGCAAGTGGATCCAATGCCAAGCAAAAAAAAGTGTAGTTTGGAAGTTTTTAAAGATTTCTGATGATAACCAAAATAAAGCAATATGTCAAATGTAGCTAGATACATTTAAGTGATTTACGTAAAGAAATTGTTCTCTTGTTTAAACTCATAGCCAATTTTTTTTAAATAAAAAGGATATCTAACTTTATTTCATAAGCTTTTGTATTCATTTTTCTACTAAATGTTTTTTTATTAATAAATGTACTTTTTTCCTCACGTTTCAAAAACCAATTGTAGGGACTGAAAATAATGAATTTTAGTCCTTGTAAGTATTGGAATCAGAAATTTAGAACAGTATCAGGAATCATAATGGAATCCATAAAAATATTGGTATCATCCCATTACTAGTTTTGTCCTTTGATGGTCTTTATCAAGACAATTCAAAGGATTTTATTTTGCAACATGTATTTATATACAGAAGTAAAAATGTTAGTTTTTAGGCTTAAGAATGTTCATAATTATACATCAGGCTAACTGAAAGTCAAGGTAAATTATAGAGGACTCTAATTGATGTAATTTATGGTCTAGTAAATGTGGGTAAATGTTAAAACAAAAACAAAAACAAAAAATCTATGATGTAGTAGCAAATTTACTAATTTTTTGAAAAGTCCTTCCTTCATCTTAATCTCTAGAGCTAAGCAATGCAGACAGGGAATAAAATCTAAGCCTCTGAAAAGAATGGCATCACACTTCTATTAACACAGGTAAATAAAAGATAACAATCTATCAGGGAAGATAAGGAATGTTTATATAATTAGATCAGAATGGTGGCAACAAGAAGTCCCTGTAGCTTAATTATTAAGGCAGCTGCTGTTTCCTGAGGGAAAGTGACAAGTTAGAGAGTTGCAATGACACTTATTCTTTCTTTTCAAATCTGTTTTACAAATGAACACTCATAGAATGTGTTGTGATAAAAAGCAACAGAAATTAAGATTAAGGCATCAGATGAAAAGTTGTTAATAGACAATGGATTTATTTTATGATTGATTTGTTTTCTATGGCTTATCAACCCTTTACAGATTAAACTTAAAATAGTTTAGTGATACAAGTCTTAGTAATTAACCCATAGCGGGGTGGGGAGGGGAGAAGACCTTTCCCAAGGGTATTTTGAACATAAGTGAATATAACAGACTCAATGGGAATTGGAACACGGTTATCCGATTAACAATTCTGAGCCGTTAGCCATTAAATTACCCGCACATCCAAGCTTACAACACCTAGAATTCCCAAGTGGTTACCCATCTAGATACTTACTAGTTTTGATGTTGCTTAACTTTGGTGATTGTATGAGAACTGGCATTTCAACATGATGTGGGCATAAGCTCGACAAAGTGAGTTCAAAATTATCACAACATAGTAGTTTTCTATAATAATCCATTTACCTTCTGAAAAAAATTGTGAACATATGCAAAGAATATAAGATCTGGTTGAGATTGGCATTAAAAGAAAATTCCTAAATCCATGATTAGGATTAGGAAGAGAAAATTACCTCAGTTGAGTTCACATCAATGTTCCCCATATACATCAAAATACCATCTGAACCTTAAAAAAATATAAAAATAAACTAACATAAGTAAATAATAAATATTAATAACAACAGAAATTATTATGATATTAATAACAATGGTAATAACATTGACAATAATAGTGGTGGCGGTATTAAACAGATATCAATAGGTGAGCCAGTTTTTTTTTTATCATTTCACCTCAAGAAAGTTATAATGCCACTAGGACATGAGGAATTACAGGGAGTGAAAAAGAACACGAAAACTTTTGCGAAGAGAAATTTGAAATTGACAACTTTTCCCCATTTCTATCTTCCCTTTTTTCATTTTCTCACTGAAACCAAGCAGTGTCTTTCCTCCTCTTTCCATGCGATCAAAATGGAATAGTCCATTATTTCAGTTATTGGCAGATGTTAAACATTTCTATCTTCCCTGTCTCTCTTTCTTCCATTTTCTCACTGAAACCAAGTAGGGTCTTTTCCTCTCTTTCCACACAATCAAAATGGAATAGTCCATTATTTACAAGGTACTGGCAGGACATAGCGGTTGTGTGAAGTAACAAAGGGAGGGACAAGCACAATTATAATAGGATTCTACCAATCGCTTAAACCAATATGACCTTAGTCAGGCTGATTTTATTACATTTTCATCAATGTATTTGTTTGCTTTCTTTATGTGTACTAGCTGAATACTGATCCTATGAAACATGGAAGAATTGTCACAGAAGTTCTATCTCTGAAATTTCTGTATAAACAACATTTTTATCAAGACGTCTATTTTATAAAGTTCTTTTTTGACATTATAGAAAATCCATTTGAATTTCCTAGTCTGGACATTGCTATATACAGTTGACCATGAGAGAAACATTTGAATATGTTTCAAATGTTTATATTAACAATAATAATAAAAAATAAATTCAGCAAACTTACTGTATTTTCACTTGTTTAAATAATTTGGTACAGTTTTAAGAAAATCTAAAACAGATTATTTGATTTATTCAGATAATTCCATAAATAGTAATGTGAAACAGCATAATAGCAGATGACAACAATGCTTATTATGAATGTTGTAGGTTTTCTAACTTATGACAATTTTGACAAGGCTGATATAAATTCTTTCTATGCAAATTAAATATTACTGTTAATATTGTAAACACCAAAATTATATATATATGTGTGTGTGTCAATTTTAATTTAATTAAAATTAGAAAACAGACAACCTTAATGGTCCATTGATTATATTTTATTTCCTGGGTCTTCAGATCACATAAATTTATGTATTATTTTTTATACACTTTTCAGGGGTAGTTTTAAGTTCATTTAAGTGATAGAGAGAGGAGGACAACAAACATGGTTGAAATTAGAGAAGGAAGTGAGAGACAGGAATAATTTTACATCTATTTTTATTAAAATAGAAAAGAGTAAGGGAGGTGGGGTAAGGAGCAGACATTGACCTATTTAATAAGTCATCCCACAGGAAATGAGACAAAGAGAAAAAAAGAAGAAAAGATATAAGGTAAATGTAAAAGCAGGGGTGGGAGGAAAAAGTAGGGAAGAAGAAAAGGAAGAATAAATTAACATATATAGGCATATTGCAGTTAATTTCAAAACCACAGATTGGTATAAAAGAAATATAGTCTTAAGGTTTGCTATATTTATGGAATAAAGTGCTCAGTATCAGAGATAGAGCGTGCGTAAATGTAAAAGTGAACATAGAAGTCAACACTTAGAGGTGACAGTCTGTTTCATGCTATATGCAATTGTCAGGCCACATATGCTGTTATTTTTCTCGGCTATTTATATATATACGGGTTAGTGGTGCATTGTGGGTATTCTATTATGGAGGTTATTTTACCGGAAGTCGTTTGTTTATTTATTTGGGTCAAGTTATATTGCTTGTTTTTATTTTTGTTTCTTATTTTATTTATTTATTTATTTATTTATTGAGTAGTAAAAATTTGTTTATATCACTTATTTAACAGTTTTGTTTTGGCTTGAGAATTTAATTAAAGCTATTTGTTCAATTTTAGGGTTGGTTGTTGTAGTTCATTCTAACTATTATTTTTATTTTTATAAAAAATAATAGTAAAATAAAGACTAGCAGGACCTGTGGAAATTACTTGAATTTACTAATAAATTTTTTAATGATATATTCTGTACTTTTCAAACCTATGACTATTTCCAGATAGTCTCTCTCTTAAAAATAATGAAATGTTCACAACAACAGATTGTTAGGTCGCAAAACATGATTGCATCCCTCACTGCAGACAACTGCCTTTATCTAAGATCAGTCAGTTATGTGCCATACGTGATACATGCTTAGGCAATCATGTGTCTTTTGATACATGACTGATGAGGCAGATTTTTTCCCCGCAGTAGGTTGCCATTTCCTTCTGCGGTTGGCCAGTTGCCATCCAAGGTTACAGAACCCGGTCTGTTCTGCTATTTACCCATAAATGGGGGGGGGGTGAGAAGAAGAGGATTCATACCTTTCTCAAGGGTATCAGCGTGTAAGTGAATGTAATGGATTCGAATGGAATTTGATCTCGACTCTCTGATTCCTCGTTCGGAGCTACTATCCATTATCGTGCCTTTATTTAAGATCACCCACCTGTAATGCCTCTCTGTGATTTTAATTTCAAAAGGAAACTGGCAGTTCAGTTACAAAACTGTCCTCATTAGGTCACAAAAAGAGGATTTCATCTATAACTACAAACATCTAAGATGTCCCACTCTAATCTCTTTTTTTTGTCTCTGTATATCCCTTTCTCTTTCTCTCACTCACTTTGTTTCTCTTGGATGCTCAACAGTCTGGGTTCCCTTAGTCCATAACAAATTGAATTGACATAAAAAAGAGATTTTAATTTCAAAAGGTCACTCGGGGTTCTCGGGTGAATTTGACTTCATCAGATTGTTAGGTCGCAAAACAATAATTTAAGCCCTCACTACAAACTTTATCTAAGATCTTATCCGTTTTATGCTCTATGACCAATCCCCTCAAATTCATCTTTGTATCACACACTATTTTTGTCTTTCTACACCCCTCATTTTTTCTCTGAACTGCTCAGCATCTGAGGAGATAGATGAAGAGTTGAGATCAATGGAATTCTTGCTGGTTGAAAGGAAAATCTAACCTGTTAGTCTGCCATGAGAAAAGAAAGCAGCAACAGCAAAGATGCTACCCACCCGACTGTGCCAAGTGAATATATTGCATTTTAGTTTCTCACTATGGCACTATTTCCACCTTTGTTATTCCGTGAATGCATAATGGGCCTTTTCAGATAATACATATTCAAATTTTGTTATTAGGTTTCTGGTCTCTACAATGTGTGTGTGTGTGTGTGTGTGTGTGTGTGTGTGTGTGTGTGTGTGCAAGTATGTATATAGTTTTATATTTTGGCATCAATCCCTTTTGAATATGTTTCATTAAAAATGACTAACAAGGTACTTCTGCCAAGTATTTTCTATCATATTTTTGGTAATGTTTAACATTTGGTGCAAATAAAAAAAAAAAAAAAAAAAGGTGAAAACTATGAAGAAGTGAAATCAAAGAATTATAAAGAACTTACTGTTACGTGATGAATGATTGTGTGAATGTTTGTTGGTTGTTCGTTTATTGGTACGAATATGATTCCGTACATCAGAATTTGGACTTTCAATTGTTGAGTTCTTTTTCTGATCAGCCACCTTGATCTGAAGCTTCGTCCGAAATGCCTTCAAAGCTTTGATGGCAAGTTCTTTTGTAGAGAAACGAACAAACTGGAGACTTTGTGGAGGGAAAAAAAAAAACAAAAAAAAAAACAAGGCAACTAGAAACACTCAATAATTTTAATAGAATGCAGAAACAGAAATGTTTATTAATAAAACTAAGTCTGAATTACAAAAATAAAGATATTGAAATAGAAAAAAAAAAATTTAAACTGAATACTTTTGTATCATTGAAATTTTTTTTAAATGAAGCACTTATTTAATTAATAGTCTTGTATTTTTTTTTTATTCCAACACTCTGAGTTAGTACATACTTCATTATTATTTTAGTACAAGTTTTTCTCTAATTTCTTTGTCACAGACAATGTAATATATTTTCAAGAAACAGTAAAGGGGAGAAATACTAATGACAAAATAGCAATTATAAAGTACTTCATTGACCAAAATCAAACAAGTACAACAATTTAAATATCTGGGAAGTGTTTTAACAGAGGATGGAAAGTGCAACACTGAAATCCAAAGATGCCTTCTGAAAGCTAAGCAAAGAAAAGTGTACTGAACTGTTATGTAATATCAGTTCTACTATATGGCAGTGAATGCTGGACAATCTCCTCATAGATGAAGAGATTTGAAGCAACAGAAATGTGGTTCTACAGAAGGATGCTGAGAATAACATGGGCTAAACATGTGAGCAACAATGAAAATGGGAACAAAAAAAGGACGTTTATACTTAATATCAGAAAGAGACATTTGAAATTTCTAGGACACATAATGGAGAAAGAGGGCTTGGAAAATGTGGTACTCACAGGACATACTGAAAGCAAGAGGGACAACAGAAAACAATGCATAACCTACCTAGTGAGCTTGACTAAAAGGATGGCAGAACAAGGATTAGGAGAGATAATAAAAAGACAATTTTATTAAGAGCTAAAAGGACAGGAAATGGTGGTGAGCCATGATTGCCAATGTCCTTAATGGACAAGGCATATAGAAGAAGACATTGAAAAAGATTTTGAAAAGCAAAGCTCGTAATAGGATTAAAGAATTCAAAAGGAGAAAGATTATGAATAGGATTTTGTTTTGTGCACTTTCTTAAACATATGGGACCAAGATATTTAGGCAATATTTAATCTCTGTGCCTGCAAAAAAATAAAATAAAAAAAAAAAGAAGTTTTTTCCCCTTGACTCTACCATTATGTTAACTACTTTGTCAATGTTTATCGTTTTAAAAGACGATAAGAATTTTAATAAAACCTAAAAAAATGAAAGTGAATTTATACATTTTCTTTGTTCTTGAGAAAAAAAAAAAAAAAAAACTATTGTTTCTTGAAATGGCTGGTAAAACATCAACTAATTGCCAGTCAAACTTTATAAAATGGTCAATAAAATGGGCTGAGGATTATGATTAAGCATGAAACAGATTGTTAACCTCAATGTCCACTATTTATATTTACATACACTCTATTCTAATATTGAGCACTTTAACTCAAACATCGCATACCTTAAAACTATATTTTTATCATGAAATAAATAAAGATTTCATTATAGATGGTTTACATATTTTTATAATTTTGTAACTATTTATAAATAAAAATTATTTTCATATTTATTTTTTTTATAAATTGGTAAATGATAAATATTGCATTGCATTAGTTTTAATACAGTTGTATTAGTTTTTAGAATGTTAAAAATATAAAATTATTCTTGTGAATTTGGATGAAGATTCATTAATTAATTTACTTTTTATGGCGTATCAACCTTTTTCAGGTAATTTAATGCCAGATAATATTTTTAGACAGTACAAATGTTTTTGAGACAATGATTTACTGATACAAGTTTTACTAATTAACCCATAGCTGGTGGGAGAAGAGGCAAATTCATACATTTCCCAAGGGCATTTCCGTGCAAATTAATATAAAAAAAAAAAACAACTTGAATTGCAAGTTGGCTCACCAATTAACAATTCTGAGCCTGCCATTACCCACTGCACCATCCGCACTTCCAAGCTTACAGCACCTAGTATTCACAGGTGGTCACCCATCTTGATACTGACCAAGGTTGACTTTATTTAGATTTGGTAATTGTATAAGAACTGGTGGTTCAATGTGATATGATTATATATATAAGAATTTGAGGTAAAAAAAAAAAAAAAAAAGGGATGTAATGATTAAGTCATTGAAGAAATGTGACATCAATAACACAATGGATGGAACCAAGGATGACATTCTCTTTGATCATAATATTGAATCCAAGGATGAAATGCCTGATTATTTTCCCAGTGATTGTAAAAGCAATGAGGCTGACAATGTCTTTGATCATAATGTTGGATTCAATTATGAAATGTCTGATTCTTTTCCAAGTGAAAGTGAAAGCAATGAGGATTTTCTATGTTTTGAACCAAACTAAATAACAGTAAACCCGGTATTTTTCTCATTTTGATGTTTTGAGCACTTTTGTGTTTAGAACTATATATACTAAATTTTAAAATATCAGATAGATTATTTTGCTTCAATAAAAATATGACTGACCCCCAACCCAACAATTTTTTTCAATGTATTAGACTACCCCAAAACTTTATGTCAAAATCTGCTTGTGTCCTATACATGGAAGGTATGAGTAATGTATAAAGAGAAAATACCTGGCAGTTTAACAAATCAACTACAATCTCTCAATGCTTCTATTAATAAACCCTTTAAGATTTTAATGAAAGAGGAATGGAACAACTGGATGTAGCAGAAAGATTTTGTTATGACCCCAACTGGAAAAAGGAAAAGACAAAATCTAACTCAGTTGTAAATGAGGACAAAGGATTTGTGGTAAAAAAAAATAAGAAGTGATATAATGATTAAGTCATTGAAGAAATGTGGTATCAGTAATGCAATGAATGGGACTAAGGATGACATTCTCTTTGATCATAATATTGGATCCAGGAATGAAATGCCAGATTCCTTTCCAAGTGATGGTAAAAGGAAAAAGGCTGAAATTGTCTTTGATCATAATGTTGGATCCAATTATGAAATTCCCAATTCCTTTCCAAGCAATAGTGAAAGATTTTGTAGATTTTGAACCAAACTAAATAACAGTAAACCTTTACTTATGGTTTATTCTTATTTTGATGTTCCAATCTCTTTTGTGTTTAGAAGACTAGAGAGCAACTTTTAAAGTATATGATTGAATTTTTGTTCAATAAAAGTCTTTACTGTAGTTTTGGAAAAATAATTCCAAAACTTTCTCTTCATAATAAGGGTGTGTCTTATATTGTGAAAAATACAGTAGTTACCTTAACTAAATCAATAATTTACATACCCTTTGTAGTCAGTGATGTCAGCAATGGGTGCGACAGGAGAAAATAGTTCTCGAATATCCTGGAAGTAAAAGTTTTGAAACCAGAACAATATAAACAAAAATGGCTAGCATTTAATATTTTATAAGAATGAAACCCCACGGTAGAAAGAAAAAGCAAAAAGAAAACAAATCTTTTTACGAAACTATTGCTATATGAGAAGATTCAAATAAATATAAGAAAATTCTTGTATTATTTCAAACTATTATTCTCATCTTGATATACATGTTATTACAGGCATGATGTTTCAACCAAATACCTTCTGGTCATCATCAGGTGTCAATTGATTGTGACATTTTGTCCGTGATGTCACTTATTGCTTATTCCTTTTGAACTGATGCATTACTACCAGGTCCAAGGATTGAACTCTTGACCACTAGATGACAGTAACACATGTATAACCAACTACTATATGCTACCATCCCAAAGGACATTAGTAGTTTGTTTTTGAAACCTATTATATTCAATGTCAGAAGGTTTTTGACATTTGATTATGATGGTAGGTTTGTAACACTTTTCATAATTTAGTATTTCCTTTCTATGATGAGTAATTGTCAATATTCTTGAAAGTTAAATTTTGCCTGGCAACATCTGCTTTGCTTATTTTTGCTACATTGTCTGTCCTCATGCAAAGTTTAGTAAACATTACAGTATAAACATAGATAGGATTATTACATGTTGTCCTGGTTCAGTTGTTAAATGCCCACACATTTATTTTAACTACCTTCTCTCCTTGGCAATATTTACCGTTTTAAAAATGATGATTAGAATTGGAATAAAACAAACATGATTCAAATAAATTTATACATTTTTTTTTGTTCTTGAAAATTTACAACAAAAATATTAAATACTATTAGACTGTTTATTTACAAAAATAATTTTATATTTTCAAAATTCTAAAAACTAATTAAAACTCATACAATGCAATATTTAACATTTACCAATTTATAAAAGAACTAGCAATATGGCCCAGCATTGCCGATATAGTTGATTCAAAAATCGTCCCGGCTCATACAGCAATCATCGCTATCACTTGACTTAAAAATATTTTGCCCTTCCTTGCCTTTAAAGGAGTACCCTTTACCGTGCTTATGTTGCTACATACCTTACTTCTTGCCTATCTCACACTGGGAATTTTTTCTAAGCTCTATACTAAACATTAAATCTGTTATGAAAAAAGAACTAAACAAAATGAACACAAAATGATCAGCTTTAAAAAAGGACTCGTAACTGGAAAAACTGAATGAAAAAAGAATGTTAACAACAAATACTTTTCACACCAAACTCAGTTCTGCGAAATCAGAATCAATGTAGAGTTTAAGCAAGCGAATGAGCCAATTGGAGTAAAGTGCCATGCAGATTTAAATTTTCCCCCACTTGTGACAAATGCAGCTACCGATTTTTTCTGCATGCTAGTTAACATTCATGTCAGTCAGCTGTTGGCTCTCATGCTGGCCAATAGAATGTTCCTGCCTATTCGTGGCAGCCAGCTAAAGGCTCTCACTCTGACCAGTACAAAATGGCCACAAACTACATGAAAACTGCTGTAGAAGCATGAAAAAAATCGATTATTTCCACTATCGATGGGAGTTGGGAAATGCAAAGTCCGCCTTGGCCTTCTCACTAACTTGGAGCATGTGCATGTAAATTTTGGTGCAAATCTGTCGAAAATTGCGGCTGTGCATTCGTTACACAGACACACATCCTGCCTTTTATAGATAGAGATAAATATGAACATTTTTTATTCATAAATTTATAAACATTTACTAAATTACTAAAATATGTGAACTATAAGGAAATCCTTACTTCTTTGAACTGATTGGCAATTAGCCAATGTTTTGCCAACCATTCCAATAAATAATATAACTAAAGTGTAAATAAACAATCCAATTTATACATTTTCTTTGTTTTTGAGAATTGATAACAAAAATACTAAATACTATTATATTGTTTATAGGAATATTTGGCAAAACATTGGCTAATTGCCAAGTGATTCAAACTTTACAAAATGGTAGATAACAAGGATTTCCTAGTCCACATATTTTAATAATTTAGTAAATGATTATAAATAAAAATGGTTTTTCTATTTATTTCTTTACAAATTGGTAAATGATAAATATTGCATTAGTTTAAATTGTATTAGTTTTAAAAATATTGTAAATATAAAACTATTTTTGTAAATAAACAATCTAATAAATATATAGTTCTTATTATTTTTGTTTATTTTTAAGAACAAAACAAAAAATGTATAAATTCAATTAAGTTTAGGTTTTATTATAAATCTAATTATCAATAAACATTGCCAAAGAGTAAAGGCAGTTAAAATAAAAGTGTTGACTTTTGACACACTGTTTTTTTTTGTCTGTCTATATTTCTGAGATGATGTATTATGTACACTATTTACTTTATTCGGACTATCTTCCTCATTTTTGTTGCCATATTTATCACGTTTCGGCTGTTGTACACTCTTGGAATGTCAAACTGAGCCCTTTATTTCACTAGACTGTTCTAGTTCCACATGCCATAACATATCAGTTATCTCATGTTAGTTCCCCTCTCCAAGTTCTCCACTGCCTTAACCAGGTATTGAACTCTTTGGGTCCTGTCACTGGATCTAACCAACGCCTTTATCCACTGTGCCATGTGTCCTTAAGGACATCTGTGTATGAATTTCTGGGACTTATAAACTTAATGTCTTCTGCAATCATTTTTTTTCCAGTGTTCATATTGCAATTTTTGCTGCTATCATTACAAGTTATTTTTACCAGAGCTCATATTGCAATATTCATTGTTATTATTTCTTTTCTCTGACACTGCTTATAGAACAGTCTACCCCAGTGAGCGAAATAAAGGGTTCAGTTCAACATTCCAACCACCTGAAGAAGGCAAGAGCATACAACAGCTGAAATGTGATAAATATGGCAACAAAGATGAGGACGATAGTCCAAATAATGTAAATAGTATTTTTTTTTTTTTTTTGCTGACACAAAGATCCATGTTTGCCTCATTTTATATATAATGAATATTAGTGCATGCCAACTATTCACAATCATCTTTTTTCCCCCACTTTTAAAATTGTGGAGGAAAAAAAGAAAAAAAAGAAAGGAGAGTGAGGTGAACAAATTTTACTACAATGTTACAATACAATTTTATTTGTTGTACACTGAATTCAAAATAAGCTAAAACAAATGATAAAATTCAACAAACTTTATTTACAGTCTTTACATTTCCTATTATAAAATACTACGTATATAGTTAAATGATATAGTTAAATGCATTCCAAGCAAATTAAATACAAAGCAAGAAAAAGAAAAATCAGAAATAAATAAAAAGATACGTACATCTTCATTATTCAAAGGAGGATGTTGACACTTGGAGTGAAAACAAAGAGAGTACAACCCTCGAAAATTTGGTACCAGATCGCTAATTTCACTCTCGGAAACTAAAAAAAAAAAAAAAAAAAAAAAAATCAAAAAAACTTTTTTTTTTTTTTTATTATTTACATGGGAAAAGGGTGTATAAATTTTTATATATCAAGAAGAATTTTAGGGAAATCTTGGAAAAAAGTAGAAAAAGCTTTTGTGTAATGCATTTCGCCCTTTAGAACTTCAGTCTAAAGTGATGTTTATAGTGACTACACATACATACAAAATAGCGGGAGAGTAAACTGAGAATTTTTAATATATATATATATATATATATATATATATATATATAAAAAACAACTTCTTGCGACACAAAAACGAACGCCTACTTGCGAACCAACACTTTACGACAGAAAACGAGCAAAACGGCACCCAAGACTGCTGCCGACGGATGACCGACCGCAGCGGCTTGTGTCGCTCAAGAAAAGACGCCAAACGACTTGCGCGTCTTCTTCTTCTTGTAGTCCTCGGTCGTATCCATTATGGTAATCGAAGGTGTGCCCGGCGACAACACACACACACGCAGTTCGAGGACGTTCACACGCATGCTTGCTACAGACTGTTCTCATTCTACTGCCTATATTTGGGGATATCGCTTCTAGTCCTTAGTTTTAGTACTGCTCAGTTATTGCTTACCCTGTTTCCACATACACACTGCCCGGCCTAGGGATTGAACTCACAGCTGCTATGACAGCAAACTCATGAATGGATGCTTTAATTCACTCCTATCCCAGAAATTCAGACAAAGAAATTTATCTGGTTATGGTTAAAAGTTGATTCTTGTCAGCATTTACAGTTGAGTCGTATTTATTACTTGTAATGATCTTCAATCAAAATGACAGGGCAAGATTTTGTTTCAACTTTAATATACAAAGGATATATTGAAAAAATATCCTTAAAGGGATACAGAAAAGCAATTTAAACAAGCAGTATTTCATATGTCTTTGCTTCATGACTAATGTTATAAAATGTTGTAGATTTTTAGTCTGAAATAGGGGATACTTTGTTTCACCAATGTCCTTACCAATTATCATCTCAGTTGGAAGAAAAGTTTATCTTATAGAATCTGATATTTTGAGTGAAAAAAGAGAAGAGAGAAATAACTGGGGAGAAATAAAAGAGAGGGGTAGCAAGAAAAAAAGAGAGAAAGAGGGCAAGAGAGAGTGAAAAAAAAAGGAAAACAAAACAGAAGATGGATGAATGTCTAAACATCTATTAATTGTAATGTGACATTATTATTATTATTATAATATTGTTTTTGAAAAATATATAAATTATATAACAAGGCAATTAAAATAAATAAATAAAAAGAAAATTTTCTTCATCTGTTTTTAACTATCAATGGAATTTCTTCTTATTTTGACTTGAAACATACAAAATATTTAAGTCTTAGTATATTTTCTACACACAGATTATTGATGAATTTGATGGCAAGGCCTCCAAATTTACTAAAATTAGATACATACAAAGTTTAAAAAATGTTTTTTTTTAAAAACCAGATACATGAAGGTTGGAAGACACAACCAGCAAAACTTTGTGATAACAAAAATTAGGATAATAGTTCACGCATGAATAATGCTAAAAAAAAAAAAAAAAAAAAAAGGTTAAAAATTCAGAAACTTAAAACAAAATAAGCAGATATCAATGAAGTTAGTACATTTTTCAAAGTTGACATTTGTAAATAACAGGTAAGTGACTTAGCCGAAGGAATAGGTGCAGTTTTTTTTTTTTATTTATCTAATTGCATACATGCACACCCACCCCACCTCTTTTTTGCTGCTCATGTCTTTTTCTTTTAACAATCATCTCGTACTTGATTTTGTTCACATTAATATACGTTTCCCTCTGTATATTAAAGAAAAGAATGATTGAGGCAATTATTATTCTAAACTTCAATGTTTGTACAGTTCAATAACCTGTGGCTCTAGGCTTTTCATCTCTCTTGGTTTGAGTAAACTTCAAAACATTTTCCTAGTAAGAGCTTTATATACACTCACAAACTGATGCAAACAAAATTGTGGTAATATGCTGGAATTGCACTCAAATTTCACACCAGCTCACCAAAGGAAGCTAGGTGCAAGGTTGACCTGCAGTTACTACTGGCCACCAAAAGTAAGTGTATGTGATCACACACTTACATTCGGTATTACTAACATGAGAACAGGAATGTTGAAGAGATGGATAGAGAAACAACAATCCTAGGCAGTCTCTCACATATTGCATATAATGTAAGGTCCATGTATCAGACTAGAGTTTTGGAGGCTGCTTTACAACCACACTGGACTTACGGATATATCATGCTGAAACACCAGTTCCTGTATGATTGCTGAAGTTAAGCAACATTGTGCCTGATCAATACCTAGATGGGTGACCACTCGGAAATACCAGGTGTTGTAAGCTTGGATCTACAGGTGGTGTAATGGATAATGGTTTGGAATCGTTAACCAGAGAGCAGAGTTCCAAATCCTGTTCAGTTTGTTATATTAATGTACACACAAGGTATGAGTTCACTTATTCCCCCACCTCAGCTATTGGTTATTTAGTTAAAAAAAAAAAAAAAAAAAAAAATGTAAATTAAGAACATGTCAAAATCTAAATGTTTTGTACATTAAATAACCCATAGAGGTTGATATGCTGCTAAACAAAAACAATCAACCAACCACAACTACAGTGGCCGAGAGTTAAAGTAATGAACAATCAAGTGGGTTATCACTTACTGGATTCTCTTACTTCATAACAAAAGTTGGTAGACCATTAACTAGCCTAGTGAATTTGATTCTTGTTTAATACCCCATTATTACAGCATTGTGCCAGACTAAAATTCTATTTCTATATTTCTTAGATGAGGTAATGTAACTACTTACATTATTTATATTGTTTAGACCGTTATCCTAGTCTTTATTGCCATATTCACAAGATTTTGGCTGTTGTAAACTCCAGCCTTCTTTAGGATATATGCTGGAATTTCGAACTGAACTCCTTATTTAGTCCACAGGGATAGAGAGAAGCAGTGAATTCTTACCTAATCAGAATTTGATAAACAAATAAGAAATTATGTGAATATAAAGTGGGGGATCAATTCTATATTAAAATCAATATATAAATGGATCCTTCACTTCGTAGCCACGGTAGTTTCTATATATGCCTGTGTAGCGAAGCAGTATTTGATTGATTTGTTTTCTATGGCTTATCAACTGTTTACAGGTTATTTAAAGCCAGAAAATATTTTTAGATAAGATTTTTTTTTTTTTTTTTGGTAATTATGTTTTAATGTTACACATCTTACTAATCAACCTATAGCAGGGTAGTCCATACCTTTCCCCAGGGTATTTGTATGCAAGTTAATGTAACAAATCCAACTGCCACTATTACAAAAACAAAAAAAAAAAAAAACCCCCCAAACAGGTATAACTTAACTGTCCCAGTAAAAGAAAAACAAATACAAATACATCCTCCCCTGTTGCTATTTAATGGAAAAAACAAAAAAACAAGACAAACAAAAAAACAAGACAAACAAAAAAACAAGACAAACAAAAAAACAAGACAAACAAAAAAACAAGACAAACAAAAAAACAAGACAAACTTACTCTCCAAATCATTTGGATCCTCAGAAGTCATTGTTGAGTTATGATGTGATTTGCACAATTTCACTTCTATGTTCTGTAATGATAGTCAAGTAGATTTCTGGGTAAAAGAAAGATAAAAAGAATGATTAAAAGAAATACTATCAATGTCCATTCAAATAGTACTCAATGTAAAGATGCCAGCAAACTAGCTCAGTGATGCTGATAAGTTTTTAATGTAGTGATTCCCTGGGAAATTCAATGGGGTCTCAATTTTTTTTTTTCCTGTTAAACTGCTGGGCTAAACAGATTAAGTATTTTTTTTTTTTTGACCATTGTTCCAAAAAACAATTTTAATTTTTCATCTTGATAATGTCATTTTCAGCCAAGTCATTGAGGATTCAGGAAAACACTTAGCACAGGTTTGCTTTGAGAACTTTGCATTCTTGGAGGGGGTTTAATGTTACTGATGAATGGGAATTTTTGCTGAATATTTCATTCAACTACCATATTGGATTTTCCTATATGACAAAAACAAGCGTTTTAAACAGCTGTGGTGACAGTGACATTTATTTTTTATGCGACCTACACATCCAACTGACCAATAAAAGGAAAAAGGAAGAACTAGTAAAAAGTCTTTGAAAGAATAACATCAAATGAATAATGCAGTATTTGTTATTTAAAATTACAAAAAATATTGGCCCCCTTACAGTCTGTACTAACACATATAGAAAAATTTCTATTGTTTGAAGACATTTTTTGAGCCCTGTTAAATGTTATTTCAACAACGAACCAAATATTGAATACAAATGTCTCTGCTTAAAATGCTTTACACTGGTAGTTTTAAAAAGTATGTTACTAGACCAACCATAAATCTGCTGGGTTTCTTTTAAAAGAATGAGGAAGTAACAATATTACCAATTTTATTATTAATATATATATATATATATATATATATATATATATATATATATATATATATTAAAAGACAATAAAGAAGGTTTATTGTTCCACTGGGCTTTATAGTTAACACTTTGCATGAAAATTTGGAGTAATAGCTTAAAACTTGTGTAGTTTTTTTCCAAAATAATAAGTATATTTTTATTAATTATTAGTTAAAAATAAGTAAAAAATTTTCTGGCCCCAAAATAAATGAAAAACACCAATAATGCCTTAATGCAAATATATCATGATTTAAAGTATGAAAATAAATTATTTTATGATATCAATAAATATATGTTTTATGTCTTTACATTAAAAAAAAAGAGATTTCTCCCATAAAGTGTACTTTGAATACAAAATTCATAATAAAAATGGTAAAAGAAGGTTTATTGTTCCACTGGGTTTCATAGTTAACACATTGTATGAAAATTTGGAGTAATGGCTCAAAACAGGTGTAGTCTTCAAAATAATAAGTATATTTTTTATTATACATACTTGTTTCTTCCTTGCATATATTTCAAAATATTTAATGGCAGCAAATCAGCATGCAGCTATTTATTTACCATCAAGTCATGTGACACATATAGCCTCATCATTCAAGTAGTTGTTTATAAAAAAGAAGTTCCAATGTAGTGTAGTGAATTGTATAAATATATAGTGTGTTATGTATATTTCAATTTTTTTTAATAATAATGTTATAATATACAGGGTGGTCCGAAAGTCATGTCACCTTCAGATAATATAATTTTCTATTTCATATAGCTGACATGAGCTCCTACAGTTTAGAAGAGAGGCTTCTTGATGTGTGACAACACCAATGAAAGTGAATAAACAGAATCCAGTATACATGCTTTATATCTTACTAGCAGTAGAGCCCGGCATTGTCCAGGGATGTAACAGTAAGAGATAGATCAAGTATCGACCATCATAAAGACTGAAAAATAAAATTGACAAAGATTATTGTTTAAGGTTGATGGACACGCATGTCTTAATTATTTTTTTTATTTTTACGAATTGGTCAAACCTAAACTCAAACAAAAGCAATGTTTTCAATCGTTATGAGCCTACCGATTGAAGAGAATTTTATTATAAACAATTGTCTTTTAAATGAAATTTTTAAAGCATTTTGAATGTAAAAATAAAGAAAAACGTGTGCAAGACAATAAGAAACACTACCTGTCAAAAAAAAAGTGAAGTTTTGTTGAAATCGGTTGAAAAATGTAGGAAATCCGATCCCATATATAAATGAACACACACAACAACCTAGGTTTTTATAATAAGTATAACTTGATATGAGTTGTCCCCCTTTCATTCTTGTGATGCCTCTTAATTGTGTTTTCAAATTGATTTTGTGCAAAAGCAATTGTGTTTTTCCAATTTTGGGCGCTGTCAGAACCACCGCAAGGTAATTTTACGTAGCCCTGTGAAGTTTTGTTGAAATCGGTTGAAAAATGTAGGAAATCCGATCCAATATATAAACGTACAGACAGACACACACACAATCTGCATTTTATAATAAATAAGATTACTTGTTCTATTGTTATCATTACTTTTTGGTAGGGGGTAACAAGACTTTTGGACCACTCTGTAGTATGAATGTTTATTATTTTTCACACACATGCTAGTTGGAATATGCAAGTGTTTATTTGTATACCTGGATTGATATGAGAATGTGTATAGAAAACAAATACTGAATTTCCTATTAAAAATGCCATAAAAACAGAAAAGTGGCTCAAGAACACCTTGTCTAATTTTAATATAAAACATTTCCATGACATATGTTAACATATTTAAGATTAAAAAAAAAATCACATGGCAGACATAAATAATAATTGTCAAATGACTTAAACCAAGCAATCAGCCAATGTTTGTAGCCGTTTCTCCCTTGTCAGGGTGTTTAACAATGTTTAATTTCGTTTTCATGGTGATGGCCTTCCTTTTCTTCAAGGCACTGCCATCAGAAGTGGTTACACTACACTTGGGAGTCATAATGAAGGGTGATAAATTTCCACAAACAACGTAAACGAAAGAGAATGAACGCGCAAAACAAAATTAATGGAGATTGCATTGTAACCATGAATCATTGTAGGTTGGGACTGTTGCAACCTAAGGGCTAACACTTACGGAATTTCATAAACATTCTTTTTTATTATCTCCCTTCTTAAATCCTTTACACTTTGTTATTGCATTATGTTTAAAATATTGTGAAATGACAAATAAAATTAATCACTTCAGTAAAATAAAAACCTTTTTAAATCACAATAAAAATATCAAGAAAAAAGCTTAAAATTCTAAAAATAAGGTGAGGCTGAAAAATTCTTGGCCCCAAAGATATTTTCCAAAATCTGACCAAACCCCAACATGTTTTTTTTTTTTTAAATCTCTTTAGCTGAGAACTTTTCAGCAGTCTTTGCAGCTCACTCTTAAATAATGGGTGGGGCAAGGTAACAAAAAAAATATATATTGAATTTTGATAATTAATTATTAAATTTTTAAATTTGTGCTTTGTCAATTGCAGTTTGGTGTTTACTAAAGGATGGAAACAGGTTTTGGGGAGTAGAAAGTTTTTTTATTTTATTTTTTTTTTTTTATTATTGAACAGATCAGAAATATCGGAAACATTTTGGCAGGTTGTTGGCAGTTGCGGACTGGAGAGAACAACCTTTTATGAACACGACTCACATTAATAAAAGATTAATTTACCAAAAATAATGAAGAAAGTTTGCAATTTCATGTGTCAATCATCAAGCTGGCTCAACAAGTTATTGCACATTAAATAAAAAAAAATAAGCCAAACACCTTAACCTCCTTTGATGTAAAAGTTTTCTGTGAATAAAGTCACAATTTTGGCTTGGAAAAAAGTCACAATTTGGTTTTGCAAGTGATATAGTTGGTATACATGAACCCATTGGAGCAGATCTTTGAACCATGCTTATTACTGTCAATATTTTCCATGAGGTGTGAAAACTTGGTGGTGAATATCTGAAAACAGTAGATAAGTTTGTTTACTTGGGATTCACAATAACATCAACCCTATCTGTGGATGAGGAATTAACAAGTAGAATAGGAAATGTCACAGTTGAATTCAAGAAACTCATGCAAAGAACGTGGGAAATTGATAAACCTAGGATAAAAACCAAGACTAATTTACCGAACATGCATCCTCTCAACACTCCTTTACGGAAGTTTAGACGTTGACCTTGTATACTGATCAGAAAACAAGGTTAAATAGTTTTCACACGATGTTTAAGAAATATTTTTAAAATTAAATGGTAAAATAAGGTCCCAGATACAGAAGTGCTCAAAAAAGCTGGCATTCAGTCACTGTATTCCATCCTGGGGTCTCGGCATCTCAGGTGGCTTGGGCAAGTTACACACATGGATAACTCCAGAATTTCCAAACAGATGCTGTATGGGGAACTATCTGAGGGCATGTGTAATGTTGGATGACTCAAGCTTTGCTTCAAGGACCAGTGTAAAACGTCCATGATGGAATTTTCTATCAATGTTGCAAACTGAGGTGCGGTTGCTAAGGGTCAAGTGGGGTGGAGAGCTGCCATTTTCATGGGAGCAAAGACCTAGAAGAGAATAGTCCAGCATGCTGTAGAGGCCAGACAAAGATGCAAATGCCTCACCCCACAGTAGATGACTCCACAGTATTCTACTACTGTGGTCGTTGTCAAAATTCTTGATGATTGTGCATTGGTTGTTTTAGCCATGAATGGCACTGTGTTTTAAGATAACTCTACATTTTCTGATGACCGACCATATTGATGAAAAAGGCCAAAATAAACAAAATAACAAGGAGTGAAAATTATTCTTCACTAAATCCAAGTATATTGTTAATTGACAACAGCACTGAAGCCCAAAATAATACTTATTATAAAACCCAGGTTGTGTGTGTGTGTGTGTGTGTGCGTGTATGTTTATATATTGGATCGGATTTCCTACATTTTTCAACAGATTTCAACAAAACTTCACAGGACTACGTAAAATTACCTTGCGGTGGTTCTGACAGCACCCAAAATTGGAAAAACACAATTGTTTTTGTACGAAATCAATCTGAAAAGACGATTAAGAGGCATCACTTTCGCAGAATGAAAGGGGGACAAC